TTTTTTTACTTGTTATATACTCCTTGTTAATTTATGTCATTTGATTTTTGTAGTTCATCCGATCCGACGTTAAAAATTAAAAAGGTGTGTAAAATGTAAAAAAAAAAATACGGATAGCACATCCTTTAATTTATTAAAGAGATATCTTGAATAGTGGTAGCACATATCTTGAATGGTAGCAGTACTAGTATAGTGATGAGAGAGAGAGTGTGTGTGTGTGTGTGTGGGGTGTCATTTATCTAGTTTTGGGTTGCAGTGAGCAAATTATGAAGTTCTAAATAAGGAAGGTCATCATGCAGCTGAGAGACTGGGGAGTTATTGGGAACATGCTAAACAGCAGAAGTCGGGAAATGCAAATCTCTGCAGCAGCAGAGAGAGAGAAAGAGACAGCAAAAACACAAAACCACCAATTTGTTGCATCACCGGAGTTGGACATTCGACAAGGCAACACATACGTGACATGCAAAAATATTGAACCAATTCATAATTATGTCTTGCTCTAATTTGCATTAATTTGACATACAATTGTGATATCTCTGATATTTGAAGTACATACGCAGGTCATCAAATCATGATGCCGAAATTACATGTTAATGTTCCCTCCAGCTGACAAGTCATGACAATATCCTGTCTATAGGCTATAGTCCATAGTAATATTTAAATGTTGTTCTTTCTTTTTTTCTCATATATTTTCATGAAAATATTTTGAATCCAATAGAATGCAGGTACAGGCTTACAGCTCTGATTTAATCAGGAGTAAGTTTATTCAGATTGTAAATTGTAACATCCACTACTTGTTTGTAAATACAGTTTATCCCTTTGTAAACAACAGATTTGTTAAAGGGTTAAAGCTAGAGAAAGTGAAGATATTGGTGCTTATAATTCTTAAATATGCGTAGCCTTTAAAAAATCTTCATTCTCTTGAAGTAAAATTAGAATTGCTATTCTGACTCTGATTTGTTTATTAACTAATATTCTTTTACTAATATCTAATGGTTACGGTGACTCACAACTACGTAGTATAGCAAGTAATTAATTTGAATCTTCTGCTTGGTTTAAATCTGCTAGGCTTTTGCTTTGATCGAAACTAACTTAGCTAATTAAACTGCTCAATATTTGAATAATTGAATACTGTGATAACCAACGAATTAAGAAAACCCATAAAGCAAATGTACATACATGTCTAATATTTTCAATATGTAATGATTATATATGTAGTTATATAATAATATATACTAACAGTTCGACATATATGCAGTTATGATCAAATTTGTGCTCACTGCACACAAAGGAGAGAGTTACAAGATTAAAATAAGCTTGCAGGAACTTGTAACCTTTAAATTTGTGCTCTTTCTATGCTATACAACTTTGCTTCCAGTTTTCCCATTTCCAAGAAAGTAAAGGAAGAAAAAAAGAGAGAGAAAGAAGATGCAGGTTTGCATTTCCTAGAGAACAATCACACGAGAACATCAACTGTACAAGCATCCCGTTTCTTTTGAAACAATTAATGATATATCATGATATATCTCAAACAGTGTAGCAATTCAATACAATTATGAGACAGCTGCAGATATCAGATCATTCACTCTAGCCATATGCACGCTCACCCCAAAAAGGACCAGCTAGTAACCCCACCTTATCACCACATAAAATATTAGAACAAGGAAAAAAAAAAATGAATATTTCAAGATCAATTAGACTAAAGACATTTTGCAGGACTGAATTAGTACAGAAATTGAGCATGCCATGAAGTAGATTACTATCTTAAGTACTAACCAAATTAACTGAGAAATTAAGAAGAAAAAACAGCAGAAAAAAAGAAAAAAAAGTTGCATAAACCTATAAGTTTAATCATCCAATAGATCTATGATTAAAATTCAACCTTCTCAAACCATCTATAATTTCAGTCTACTATTGGGTTGCTGCGAGAAGAAAGGAAAAAAAGCAAATTTCAAATCTAAAATAACTTAACTAATTCCCCCAAAAGTAGGGAAGAATATTGCAGCTAAAGATGCCCAAGTCGAAGCTCCAGATCCACTTCCTCCTTGTGATCTTTGAGCAACCCTATGTCCAAATCCAAGTCCAAGTCCAAGTGCAACTCCAAGTCAACCCTAATTATTTTATTCTCTTCCTCCGGATCAATCTTGTTGAAGTATTCATCATCTCTTTGTGAAAAACCCTTAAATATTTGTCCAGCCTCATGATCAACACCACCTCCCATGCCTTTCTTGGGAATCAGATCAGGAAAATGATTTTCCGGCCAGTAGTCATATCTCGGTTTTTTATTTTCATCCATAGATGAAGCTGATGAAGGTGTAGAGACCAGAGTCCTCAGAGAAGGAGAAAACAAGGAATGACATGATGAAAGAGATGAGGATGATGATGTAGAAAAATAAGAGCTAGGATTAGGGCTAGGGTTTTGAGGACATATTTCTGAAGAAAGGGTTGGAGGTAGGAGTCTCAATCTAGCTCTGTCTCTTCTGTGAACATTCATATGACCCCCAAGTGCTTGAGCAGACCTGAACTCTCTCTTGCAAAAGCTACATGCAAAGTTTCTTGTAGTCCATGAATTATCACATAAATTTTCTCCTTCAAAGAAGTTGATACAATCCACTGATCTCGATCCCTTCAGCATCGGTATCTTGCCACAAGTACTCAAGTGAGCCTCTCCATATCACATCTGGTTCAGTTCATCAAATGAAACATAAAAAACGGATTTAATTATGCTATAATCGGAGTAAAACGAAAACCCCATCTTTTAATTTCACAACTTGAGAGAGAGAGAGAGAGAGAGAGACTCACTGAGCTGTTGGATCAGAGAACTATAGTAGTTCGGGTCGAGGAAAGCTGGCTGAGCTGACACTGAAATAAGAAGAAGAAGAAGAAGAAGAAGAAGTAGAAGAAGAGGAAGATGAAGATCCTATTTGATATGAAGTACTACAAATAAAGGCCAAAGTGCTGATACCTATATCTGGATACTGCTCAGCAATGGAAGTGTACAAACTTAAAAAGACATTATTTTAACTTTTTGCTGATTCTAGGAGAGATGTGTCTAGCAATGTGCCTTACGAAGTGTAATACATGAGGACATTGGAAACTAGCTAAAGCTAGCTAGGGTTTTGTGGTCAGTGGGAATAGGAGGAATATCGGAACATGTAAAAGCATATGACTTATAAAAAGCTCACTGCGCACTTGAAGGATGTATAATTAGGGAAAGGATCCTCACCGGATTCTTTTCTTAGAGATCCTAGAGATCCCGTGATCGTGATTGTTCATCGTACATTGTATGGTTAGAAATCATTTCAAAATTTAAAATTTAAAATTAAATATGAATAGTATCCAACAAAAACTGACCACACGATGCACGATAAACGGTCATGATTTTAAAATTCCTAGGATCTCTAGGAAAAGGATCCAACGAGGATCCTTTTCCGTATAATTATTATGCAGGACTTGCGGTATATAATTATAATGGCATATATACCTTAAGATGAACACCTCCAGTAGGATTTTGCGTTAATCCCAGTAATTATGGCTTGTACTATAGAGGTGCCTCCTTTTTACTTAAAGAGTGAGAGAGGGGGAGGGTTCACCTGACCTCTATTAATTAAAGTGTGTTAGCAATGTAATTAACTTTGTGTCCTATTATTGTTGATTTTCCACAACACGATTAAGCTGGTGAAAATGTGGTTATAATGTATAAGACTCCTAATTTCAAGAAATGCTAGAGACTGTATCACATTGTATATCACCTCTCTAGCATAGGTGATGCCTACTTCTGATGTGGTTTTTATTATAAAGCCATACATTAATGGTGGCATTAGGCTAGTTAATTAGGGCAACATGCGCTTGTTACAACCATATTCGATTTCTCTCCATGTAGATTTAAAGTAGTTTAAAACAGATGGCTTGTTTACGGAAACACCTCCCTAAAACTCAACTCGTTTAGCTTAATTCCTTGAAATTCATATTTTGTCACTTAACCCATTGAGACTAAACTTGTGTGTCTCACTTGGCTTCTACATCCAAAGCCTGTTAATAAATCCGTTGCAATTGTTTACGTTGTACAAATAGAACTTCTTGTTTGTTGAGATGTGTGCCACATAAATAGTTTTAACGGGTTTATTAACGTATTTTAGCAATAGGGGCAAAGTGAGATGCAAGTTGATTTCAAAAGATTAAGTGGCAAAATTTATGTTTTAGGGGTAGATTTATGACTCGTTTGGAACTACTTATTTAAAAAGCACTTATGCTCAAAAGAACTTTCAATTTTGAGCACTTATTAGAAGCACATTGAAAGTTTCAATAAAAATGCATGTTCTTCTGGACATACACTTCTTCATGTGCTTTTTTGAACCTAGAAACACTTCAAATTTTTTTATGTAAAACGGGGTTGATTTGGTATTGCTGTGCTTTGGAAAAAAAACTGATTATGCTATGCTGTGAGAATAAGCTCATTTTTGCTGCTTCCCGTTTTCAGCTTCTTTTCACCTAAAAGTGGGAAAATAAGTTGTTTTTAAGTGTTTGTCAAACACCTTTTTGAGCTCAGTTTTTTTTATATCCATTTTTTTTAAATGCACATCAGTACCAAACCAGTACGTAGTCATTCACTTTTAGTGCTTTGAAAATACTTTAAATTATTTTAAATGCATTTCCAAACAAACCCTGGTTCACAAAACCGCTTTAAATTACAAGTTGCCACCCCCATACGCATGAAAGGATTTGGGATTTTACTCATCCAAAATCTGAAAAATCTCATAAATACAGAAAAATTTATAGGTATATTATTCGGGATAGTTCACCGTTGAACACTGATGAAAACCATCAAACAGAATTTCGGTCTACATTATTGAATCCAACTGTAACACGAAATTTGGAAGATTATGCCCACATGGCAGTGTTACAGTTACATTGAAAAAAATTAGGAGAATACAAGAAATTTGGCTTGATCTGAATCAACACAAATGTTTTCCACATAAGCTGTTGTTTGTAAAGAAAAGTACCACAAAATATATACTGAGTTGAGATAAATTAACACATTGAAGCTATCTGATACAATCAATTACAGTGAAATGTTAACAGTAAAACTGGAGGAGGATTCTTATGCACACGTTAACGCCGTGGCCAGTTATCAGGGCGAAATGAAATCACAAAGGACGTTAGTGAATGAGCTCCGACTACGTACTACTCTAAAGTTTACTACACTTGATCCTTGCTACATGCTACCTGACTAATTGATCTATATAATCCTGAGAGAAACTTGTCGGTCTATGATCCTGTATGAAGCATATGGGACGTATATGTTCAAGTCTGGCGATCTATTTACAGTGCCAGAAGTCTGACGTTTAATGAGAGACCCAAATCTAAGCAAGAAGGAAGAAAAATAATTAGAACAAGCTCCGTCAGAAGAAGTCATCAAAAGCCCCCTCCTTCTCACTTTCGGATCCTGCAAAATGTATCATCGAGGGAAAAAAGAAAACATAAAGCAATGAAACACAACTTGTAAGTTAGAAACATAAACCATTTTATCCAAGTTGCAAGGTGAGAAAATGATGTGCAAGGAAATGACTGCTGAATCATGATATCTTTTAGAAACTTTGAGAAGATTCTAATAATTCTTTTCTCAATTGAATAAAAGACAGGCAACAAGCTGATCTAGATTGCGCTTAGTTTTAGCGAATTAAATCACCATAGAAACATTAAATGTTATGTATGATTCATGACCGTTGTGACCAAAAGGTCAAGGGTTTGAGTTGTGGAAACAGCCTCTTTGCAAAGCAAGGATAAGGCTGTGTACGATACACGTTCCCCCCAGACCCTCGCAAAGGAGGGAGCCTTGTTGGCCTAGGGTCGCCCTTTTATCATATAGGACCATTGTCTTTTGTGAAATCACTTACAAAGTGGGATCAAATGCAAACTCACTTAGAAAATTGATGGTGGTTCTGGATTAAAATTACATATGACCAGAAAATTAAAATGCATAGAACTGAGCTAACCTGAAACTTCTATGCCTGAAACGTCCTGAACTATAAGCTGGATAGAATTGGGGCCAAGAGAGGAAAAGTTAGCTGAACTTGTAGCTGGAGCTGGAAAAGTGAAATCTGAGTCGGCGGATGAACATTCAGAGTTACTGGAAATGCTATCAAACCCTTCATGTCTAACAAAAGGTCCTGAAGTTGTTGAACTTGACTTGGACACGGTAGATAAGATTGTTTTCAGCTCCGAAACTTGGTTTGACATGCAATATATCATCCTGACACACACTAGATTATATTTAGTATTAGTCAAATGAATTTATGAGCAGCTTTACAAACATCATTAGAATGATCGTAAGTTGTCATATATGCACAAATCTTAACAAGTAAGAAGCAAAATTCCCATCACTGAAACGCTCCGTCTCTGGTACTTTCCAGCTTAATGCATCATGTACCCAAAGAAAAAGAAATCTTAATTAATGATTTAAAGGAATTAGATTGGGAATCTCATTACAGTGATTGTGAATCGAATTATTTTTTAAAGAAAAACCTATAACACGCTTCAACAAATAGGATTTGATAGTCCTAACATACAGAAACTATATTTGATTCCTTTCTATGGTGAAGAAACTAGACAAGCACATACACAAAATGAATGAGAACTGAAATACAGAGAGAGTATAATTTGTACTACCTGTTCAAAGATTCCTGAAGTTGATGAACTATTCTTTCAGTTTCCTCTAATTTTTTACGTCCTTCCTCACTTGATACCCGAGCTTCTACAAACCTCCTTTCACACTCATTGGCTCTTTGTTTTTCTGCTTGCAACATGGCCTATGTGAAAAAAGACAGAAGTATCAATTTGTAGATGCTGTAATTCCTATGCCAGTAAAAGATGGTAACAAAATTGACATAAACCTAATGTTAATTCCCTCATCTATTAGTTCGATATCATTACCTTCAGACTTTCAACCTCTGCAGTAAGAGTTTTAACTCTTTCAGCATTTTGATCAGGACTTGAAAGATCTTTGGTCATAGAGCATGCGTCTTCAGTTTCTACCTGTGCAACCTGACTTTTAGACAACACATCTATTTCAACACCTCTGCTTACATTAGTAAGAAGGGGGGACTCCGCATTTGTTGCCTCTTTAACCTTTTCTTTTTCCAAGTCAGTCTGCAAAAATTATTTAAACGTTTAGTAAAAAGTAAAAAAAAAGCACTACCTGACATAATGCTCCTGACTTTATACAAAGTATAATACTTGTCTGTAACAAATAGATTTCATTACGAGAATTGATAAGTACAGAAACTTTGTGCCACATTATTGTGAGTGCCATGTATTGATTTCAACAAGTTGATCAGGATATTCTTTGATATTTCTTAATTTCTATCAGTGCAACCTGATATTAAAGCAACAAATACATTTCAACTTTGCTCACACTAGCTTGCACGGAGGACTCCAACTTTGTTGTTTCTTCTCCTTTTGCTTCCAAGTCAGTCTGCACAAATTAGCATAATTCAGTAAAAGAATTTAAAAGGGACTGCCTAGCATGAAGATTCTGAACTCGGAGAAAGTACAATAGTCATCTGTAAAACATTGAGTTCATAATACGAATTTTAAGTGAAAGGATAGTTCCATTACAAGATTTAAAAGTGAAGATATTTGATGCCCCAGTAACCCTAGCATAATGTTTATCATTCATATGCAAAGCATTGATTTCTTAGTAAGAGCTTAGAAGTAAATAAATTTGGTGCTGCATTATTGATATTTCTTTAAGTTCTGAACAATAAATTTCAGCTTAGATTGGGCTCTACATCTAAAATCATTACAAGCAGCCATTGTCCGTAAACCTCTCTTTAGACAATTGAGGAGAATTTAATTTTAAGGTTTTCTCCACATGTTTCACAAATCCTTTGGGAATGTGAAAAGAAACCAAATATGTAATATAGAGAAACAAGAAACTAGGTCACCTGAATAACTGCCACATTAACTTTACATCTAAAATCTTCACGAGCAGCCATTGCCCGTAAACCTGTCTGTAAGACAAAGGAGGACCAAGATGAGAGCCTTTTCTCAAACTATGTATATTTTATATAGAAACTCTGCACATTGCATGTAGAAAGTCTTCCAAGCAAGGCATTAAGACAAATTCTTTGAAAAAGTGAAAAGCACCTATGTATATTGTATATAGAAAGTTAGCAACGGAGGAAGCTGGATAATCACCTGAATAATAATTGCCGCATTAACCCTATATCTAAATTCATCACGGGCAGCCATTGCCCGCACGCCTGCCTGTAAGATAGTCGAAGAGAACTTTATTCTGAGATAATCTTTTCTCGCCAGGCGTTTACGGGCAGTCTTCTGAATTTTAACTGCAGAAATCTCCCGCTTCTTGAGCTTCAATAACTTGCGAGCCAGTTCTCCTGAATCATAACAACGAAATACTTGTGAAATATTGTATTATATAAAACTAGCAAGTATATGCAGGTAATTGCAAAGGTATTTAGTATATATAGCTGATAAGCGCACTAACTGCTAGGGTAACGGAAATCTACATAAATGAATGAGGAGGATCAAATCCATCAAAATACATTCAGTAAAACTTAAAATTTTAAGGATTTTGCATGAAAAAAGAAAAAAAAAAGGAACATCTCAAGAAAATGGCTACCTCTTCTTTTTATGCACTCACCTTTACAAAATGATTGCACGCAAATAGAAGCCTCCAGTGTAGAAACATACTTCTTACGAGTAATACAAGTTCTGCCCCGGGTTTGAATCACCTTAGCTGAGTCACCGAGTAAGAGTATTCTCTTTGCATCTAGCTCAGCCATCTGACCAGCTCTTAGGAAAACCTTTGTTTTCCCTATCTGAATAAGCAAATAAATACATAAACCTTAATTGAATATATAAAGATATCTTGCAAGTAAACGTAATCTTTGATTTTAAGGTATTTCACACTGCCTCTATAAATAAGCCATGGGTAAACTCTTTAGGGGAAAATTCATTATTTACAGAACAATTTTGTGTCTTGAATTTCTATTGGTCCTCCTATTTTCTTTCCTCCCCTCCTTATTCCCTCTTCACTCTGTTTTCAGTTATTTCAATTGGGTTATGCATCATAGCTAATCCAATTAACAATCGTCATAGGTTCGGAGCTTCCTTAGAATATGATAATTCTGTTGAAACACCAAGGCAAAGCCAAGTATATCTGGAGTTCCATAATTTTCTGTTGTGAATCTTGTCATGTGATTGTCAATGTAAGAGAGATTGATAAGCACTAATGCTCTTATTACCTGATAATCTTTAAGCCCCATCTTCACCAGAATCTTTTCGCTGGCTTCATTTTCAGGACAACTGATTATATAGGCATTGAGTTCAGAAGTGGGAACATAACCAAAACGCCATTGAAAAACCAGAAAAGATAGCAATGAGATTGAAGACGAAAATGTGAAAAAAAAAATGGATGCATAAGTTGAAACTTACTCCATTTTTGAAACTTCCGGGGCCAGGACACGAAATCGAGTTAAAAATTCAGAAAAACTCCTGTAAGTAGGGTATCCAGCACATTTTATTCGCACAGCCTCTAAAACACCCTACGCAGATGACGAAGTTTTAATGCCACCAATTCATAATAAGTCATAACACACAATTCACGTTATACTTACACCAGAACGTAGCTGTTGCAAGACATTAACATTCTCGAATATAGCAGGCTTTAAGACACTATTCGGCTTTATACATCTTATGTAATGGGGTTCTGTAAAATTTAGTATTTCCATCAATTGTTGGAGTTGTAGCTGCATCAATAAGGTCAAGAAATTAGGTTTCACCTTTATGAATTAAATCATCTCATGACACTTGGAAAAACATGAGTAATTGCTTTTCCAGTATTTTCTAAAGTACAATCCAAAACACCAATATTCATTCTTTCTGAGACCACAATTGTAGGCAGATGGCCTCAATAGAAGATACCTTGAAACGAGAACTGATGGATGAGAACTTGGAAGATTTGGTTGCCTCCTCAGTAAGTGGAGGGAAAAGGCCTGCTACAAAAGAACATGTTGAAGCACTCAACAAATCTCGATGTTCAGGAACAATATAGTCTTTATTTTTGTCTAGGAATTGATCAGACTGATATTGTACCTGAAAAAAGAAGTGCAGAAAGTTAACAAAGTTCAGTGGAAACCACATTACAAAAGATAGATTTCAGTGCAGGAACCAAGCTCACTTCTCCTGCATAATGAACAATGGTGAAATCTGAGCGGGTCAGTTTTGGCTTGATGAAGCGTTTGTGATCTTTGAATGTCTGATACAGCTTCGTTGAAAATGTTTCATGAGTTGATTTTGGAAACATACTGCAATGCGACAATGTTATCCAAGAAAAATGTGAGTAGAAATTTAAATGAACTATTGAAAACTTAAGTTTTACAATAATGTTTGATAAAAGAACAATGGAGTCAAAGGATTAGATGCAACCAGTATCTGATTGATTTAAACTTGGCATGCATGAAAAGCAGGGTAGAACATCTAATCTAATGGTGGGATCGGAAAAGATGAATCTGATAAATTGCATCTCTCTCTCTCTCTCTCTCTCTCTGTGTACATGCACGTATGTATACATACAACATAGGGTCTTCAAAAAGATGAATGTCATAAATTGCATCCAAGTGATTTAAGACCTCTCTCTCTCTCTCTGTGTACATACTACATAGGGTCTTCGAACATACTACCTCTCTCTCTCTCTCTCTCTCTCTCTCTCTCTCTCCCCATTTACATGCCAGTGTGCACACACATATGTGTACATAGGGTCTTCGAACATACTACCTAATAAAATAAATCTTACGAAGTTCCAATAAGAGAACAAACCATACTATATAAAGGCAGTTTCTTTTCTTTTGGGCATGAAAATAAGAAGAGTGTCATGATTTCATAAAAAGCTGGAGATGTACTATTCACCTAATACGAAGTATCTGAGCAGGAATCTCTGTCCACATGTGTGTGCAATTTCAGTGAAGAACGTGGATATTTTCTATCATAACTTCACCTAATATGAAGTATCTGAGCAAGAACCACTTTGTATATGTGCAAGTGTGTGTGTGCATGTAACTGCAGTCAAGAATAAGAGATGATCATACCAAGCTTCATCAAGTAGAGCAATAATCCCACCTTTCTTCTGCAGAAACAAAATCAATTAGTGATGAGTGTATGGCAGCTAATTCAGTATACTACATAATTTAACTGCTGGATGAACAAATCAGAAATACACTAAAATAAGGCCGAATATACCATTCAGAAACACATGCAGAATTTTAACAATTATTAGCACAGAATGAAAAGACATTCTGGGGTCCAAAATAAAGGTTGTAACAACAAACATGAAGCCCCATACACTCTAATATCATGAATGATGCGTCAATGGGAAAGGGACAAGTCTCTGATTTTAGAATAAAGGCTTATACAACTTTAAGAGAGAGAGAGAGAGAGAGAGAGAGAGTAAAAAGAAGACCTGTTCAATGAGATCCAGGACATCTTTATTATCCACAAATTCTATGTAGCTCCAATTGATTTCCTCTTTAGTGTATTCCTCTTGTTCCGTCTTGAATACATGCTGAATCAAATCATAACACTTAGATGATACATTAAAAAAATTTCCTTAAAACTGAAGTTTTCAAGTATGACTAACCTCGTACCTTGTTGAAATGTTGTTGCAGCTTTTCATTAGTGTAATTAATACAGAACTGCTCAAAACTGCATTAATGAAACATAATAAGTTAGGACTGAAAATACTCAGTGAGATTCTAGCTAAATTTAATTTCATAGTTCTAGCTCAATTTCATATCCTCATTTATTATTATCTATAACTGAGTGAATTTGGATTCAGCAATACAGACGATTTCCCAAGTACCTTAGTGCAGGTCAGAAGTTCAAGTCACCCGATGGTAGGTAGTGATAGTTCTCCTTATGTGTACTAATAGTCTAGTATAGATTACAATGTCGTTTTGTATTTGTTACATGCACAGAACTTAATCACGCAGATTCCAGCCCAAATATATCTATGCATACCACATTTTTTGTAGTCAATCATTACCTGTTAGTTTTGAAGCTTTCAAAACCATATATATCAAGAACACCAATCAGACATTTTGAGCTAGGGTCTTGTCCAATTGAGAAATTGATCTTATCCACCAACCTGAAGATATAAAGGAAAATAAATAAATCAAAAAAACCAATATTGTTAGATGCTACATTTCCACGGTCAGCATTTGAGTGAAAATGATTCAGAAGATAGAATGTTACCAGTCAAACAAACGAGAATATATAGTTTTGGCCAATCCATCCCTGCTAACTGTTGCGCCAAGGGGATCAAGACTTCTTTTAATAATTTCTTCTGGAGTAACCATTACACGCTTACACAGTGCATCTTCCAATGCCCGAGGATTACACCTGAAATATGAATAAGACAGATCAAAACTGCACTGTGATTGAAAGAGGAAAGTATGAATTATGTCTATAGCAAAGCTTGAGTCACACATGAGAAGTTCTGCTGTCATTTGAAGATGAAAAAGGGATTCATCATTTTTCAGAACAGATGAGTCATTATCTTCCCCATTGGCAAAATCTATATTACCAAGGTGAAGAATTGCAGCTACAACTCTGAAAATAGCCTCCTGAGAGATGAGAAAAAATTATTCCCAGATTTTCAGTATAATGATACTCAACTTAGCAGTAAACAAATATCAGATTCAAATAAAATAAAATAAAAAATACCTGTTCTACTGCATTTATTCCAACAACATCCATGCCTCTCCGAGTGGCGAGATAATCATGTTGATCACTTATTCCATCAAGTTCATAGCAATTTGATTGATTCAGATAGTGATATAATTTAGGTTCTCCCAACTTATATTTCTCTGTTTCCTGATGAGATTAAATCTGTTAACAGGAAATTTTTGAAAATATCATAGATATGCACTAAAGTAGAAAATTAAGCTATCTACCTGAGGTGGAGCAGCACAAAGAAGATAAAAACAGTGATAGTTACGCTCTGAATCCGAAATCTGGCAAACACGAGATCTCTCTAAGAGATATGTTCTAATGGCTGCCCCTGATATTCTACCACGTTTATCAAATTGAATCTCGACAAATTTCCCAAAGCGGCTTCACCAATATATTCAAGAGAAAAAAAGTTAGGTACGGACTACGAAAGTTTCAATGTATTTTTTTTTTTTTCCGCCAGGAATCTCATCACAAACAACTGCAACCCTGGTTTTTAGGTGCACATGCAAACCCATATTATTTTCTACTCCTGATTTTAATATACACTGAATGCCCATGAAATATAAGACGTGAAAGTAAATCCAAAGACATGCTGAGCCTACAAACCTAACAACAGCAGAAACAACACAAAATCTCAAAGCATTTAACAATTTCTCACCTGGAATTGTTATTTCTAACAGTCTTAGCATTGCCAAATGCTTCAAGAACTGGATTTGACTGTACCATGTAAGTTACAACAACAACAAAAATTAGAATGGTACAACCCAGTTGAGAAAAAATATTAATAAAATATTGGCACTGAATATCATTTTCTTAGTGATGGGAATGAATGGTTATGCAAGGGTTCAGATCTCACTAGACTGACTAAAAAAGTTAGATGCCGAAATACAGTTCAAGCTAAACAGCTTACTTCTAAAACTTTTTGTTCAACACTCCGCCCTTCAGCTGCAGCATTACCACCCAAATAGGCAAGGTAGCGCATAAGCATTTTAGTTGTTTCAGTCTTACCAGCTCCGCTTTCCCCACTAACCAGAATCGAGTTGCCTTTTCCCTCAGTAATCATTTCCCTGATCACATTCAGGAAATTCAATAAAGTAACTGCATCATCATTTAAAGACAAAGAGTAGCAAGCAAAAGAAACACAGTTCACCTGTATGCAGCATCTGCTATTGCAAAAACATGAGGGCTCAGTTCTCCAAATGGCACTCCATTATACCGTTCCATCATATGAGCATCATACAGATGTGAGAGACTTTGGAATGGATTGATGGCGATGAGAATGTTTCCAGTGTAAGTCTGCCATGATGTCAAAGTATTATAACAGAGACGCCCATAGCTGCAGTAATTAATCACTTTCTTCACCAGGGTGTACATTAGTTTTACTCAAAACAGAAGATGAGAAAAATCTTACATAAATTTCATTTATCTCATATCTAGTTGCCAAATTGTGAAGCACTCCAGGTTCATGCAAGTATGCTAGCTTAGTCATGTCATCAAGTCCATCAGGAGGAGTTTCTGTATCTTTTGGGTATATTTTTAACAGCTTTGCTACAACCTGGACAAAATGAAAGTAGGTCGACTGAACAAATAAACAAATTGGTGTTTCAGTAAAGCTGCATATGAAGTGACATTTTGGCACATGACTCAAGGAGTCATTTTCACATAAGGAAACTAAGATGGAAATATCGAACAGAAGCTTCTAATAAGAAGAGACTTTCAGTAAGTCCCAAAATGATAACAGATCTGCATAAATTGCTTGCGAGAAACTCAAAATTATAAAAATTATATGTCTATGAAGTCTTTCAGGAGAACATAATAAATCTTGCAGAAGAAGAAGAGGAGAAGGAAAAATGATGGAGGGAAGGGGCAAACCACAATGATATAGACCATGCAGAAAAAGAACCATCCAACACAAAAAAGATAACAGCAGATTTGATCTCTTCTTAAATAACATCTTAGTATTTCTAAGCAGAAGCTAGAACGATGCAGAAAACTGCTGGCCAAAGCTGTGTTAACAAGCACTAAAATACCAACTGTCTATAAATGGAGAGAAAATCTTATCGTGCTTGAAATCCAGCTCTTAACTGTCTCTTGGTTAGCCAAAAACACAAAAAATAAAGAAATATCACACCACAACTGCTACTTCTTTGCCTAATGAACCCAACATGTACAAAATCATATAAATACCAATGAAGATCAAAGCCCCAAAATCCTTAAAACTGAAACTAGCAAATAATAAATTAGAAAAATGTTGGATTTAAAGACAAATGAATAAGACCAAAAGCTTCAGACTTAAATAATAACAACTCTTGTGGCAGAAAGAAAACAATAACAACTGCACTACCTTATTCCCATCACTAGTTTGAATCTCAGCGTCATCACCCTTAATATTTAGTACTTCACCGTCAATCCAAACTGATTCTGGTTTTTCAACCCAAACATGAGAACCAACAACAATGGTCACTGGCTTGGCCTGCAGCAGTTAAAGGTTTTACCACTTAATCAGTTCAATGCTTTCTTTTCCCTTTCAGTAAGCAGTTAAAATCTGGAATGCAAGTAAAATACATCTCCTTTTTCACATTTTTGTTTGGACAATATATACCAAAATCCACAATAGTCAGTTTACATGTTCAGTAGGTAATAAGCTCATCAGATCACCGACCACGGAAAAAAAGAAACTTATGGGATCTCATTTTATCCACTGTGTTTTCAATCTAAGAAGATTACAGCGATATCCCTTAGCACCCAAGTTTGAATCCACCTCCAGTAGTTTAGAGTACTTTAAAATATCGTCTTTTCGGAAAAAGCACAATAGTTTTCCTTAACCTACACACTAAAGGAGCAGCATTTATCATCATACTACATTTTCATGGAAGATCACAAATAGAAACCAGAAATGTAAAGCAAGGTTTCGAAATTTGACACACCATTCCAATCGATTCTCAACGAGAAACCCAGAAACGGAGATACCCTTCTGCACAAGAATCAAAACCCACAAAGATTTCAGCGATTTTAATTTCCATTTCTCATAAAAATAATGGTAGAGTTTTAGAGTGGAAGGAAACGAAAAAACTTGCAGAAGTTGCTTACTCTTTGCTTTTCTTCTTTTTGTTCCTCGTTGATTTGGGATTGCGTTGTTCGCGTCGTTTGGTTTGTGGAAGTGGCAGTCTTCGCACGCCCACAATTCGCCATTCTTGTGGCTCTCTTTCACTCTCTTCGCGCCTTACTCTCACTCTTTCTTCACAAGAAAGAGACGACTGTTAAAATATTTTTCTAAAGTAATTCGTTGGTATTTTATTGGGCCCAAAGAATGGGTCCAACGGCTTGGAAAATGGATTTTCTTATTGTTCATGTTGGTTTGTGCTCTTGACCAAGAAAATGAGAATTCTTAACGTTTGTCGCTGTCGCAGGTGACTAATAAGAATATTTTTTTGCCGACTGCAAAATCATCATAATGTGATGCCACTTCTTCTTGCAGTGTTTTTACTACGCTTCTCTAGCTTGCAAAGTTTAAGCCCAGTTTGGTACTGAAGTGATTCTGAAAAAAATGGCTATAAAAAAAAAACTCAGCTTTTTTATGTTTGCTAAACATTCAGCTTCAATTTTTTTTCACAATTTTGGGTGAAAAAAAGCCAAAAACACAAACTACAAAACCCAGCTTTCAAAAACCAGTTTTTTTCACATCTGTTTTACATAAAAGTTTATCAAACACTATAATACTGCCTTTTTTTTTTTTTTTTTTTTTCCAAAAGCACTTTTACAAAAAAGTTTACCAAACATTCTGCTGCTTTATTTCACAACTGCTTATTCTCACAGCATAGTAGAAGCAATTTTTTTTTCAAAGCACAGCAATACCAAACCAGCCACCTCGTGAATGTTATCTTTTCAGTTGGTTAAACGTCCTTGATAATATAATAGTAATCGTTTTACTATAGCATTCTAGTTTGCGTACCTTGTTTGTCAAGTAATCATTTTATAATATACCATGAGTGAGCCATGAGGTTGAACTATGTGGAGCCAATGTTCTAAAATACGTTATGTGCTAGTTGGGCGGCAGGGTGGGACCTAGCACCTAAGCGGTTTAAGTAAATTTATTATATTTCGTGTAAATAAATATCTGTTTATACTTAAAATATATAATTTCATCATAAACTACAAAATAAAGTGACATATATATTATGAAGTATTGGAACATAATGAAAACATGGAGAACAAGCATATAATGTGTATTCATTTAAGTATTCAACAAGCCTCTTACAATTTATTAAAAAAATAAAATGCAAAATGAAAGTTATCTATTTTATGTCTAAGTGAGTCATAACCTACGCGGGTGCCTGGGCGGGCTAGGTAGATGCCTCAGCAAGTTTAGGCCTTTCTTAATTTCCAAACGTCTAGCATTAATCGAGGCAGTGACCAGCCGCCTAACGCCTAGACAAGAACTTTTAGAATAGTGTGTGGGGCATATAATAGTGAGATATGTTTTGTATGTGCAAATTGTTTGAGTAGCATGAGATGCCTTTTATTTTAGAGAGTTTTAACGAAACACTCCCGGTACTGTTCACTTTTAACGAAACACCCCCGGTATTGTTCACTTTTAATAAAAAACCACATTGTTACCTTTCTCTTGTACTATTCACAATACCTTTATTTGTCATTTTTCATTAAAACTAAAAATTTTTAGACTTTTCATTAGTTTTCCTTTTATTTTAAGGAGAAACTAATGAAAAACACTAAAATACTTCATGTTTAATCATCATGACATAAAACTTTCAAAATTTCCCGAATAGGCAAAGCGGTACTTCCACCCACATCATTCAAAGAAGACAAGCAAAATCATGGAGGAGTCCAAAACAGTATAAAAGCAAAAGATTCCAATTTCACTTTCAGAAACAATCCATGTTTTCAAAAACAATGACATAGTCAAAGAAAATGAAAATATTTTCTATATAATATTACATCTATTTGAAAAGATCTTTGTAACGTAGCACCATCATACTTGTGTATATGAAGGGGTTCTCCTTCATGCACACACAATCCCTAAACACAAACCTCTACACAGACGAACACAAACCTCTACACAGAACCAACTTTCCATAGTTTTCTAGCATCCTTTGTAAATTTTTATAAATCAATAAAAGAGTAAGTGTACATATTCAAGTAGTTTTTTCAGTCTTAAGTACGTTTCCTTTCCTTCTTTTAGTATATTTGTTTAAATAGACTTCCAATCCAAAACAAGAAAACATTATTATAGGTATATTATTATCTTACTAAACTGATGACCATATTTTGTTTGAGAACTATTTTATAGTTGAATGTTTGTCATACAAATAATGGGACATTAACTAGGATACCTATGACTTCTCAATACCTATGAGTTTAGTCTTTGTGGTCTTATACCTACATTGTAAGTAGTCATCATGCTGAAACATATCAAGTTCTATATGCAAAGTTTTATGTCTAGTTGTTACAATGGTCATCTAACTATTTAACTAGGCCTTACTACGAACTTGGTATCAGAGCCAAGTTTAATATTTAAATAATATTACTGTAAAGTATCTTGATAACATAAGTCGTCAACACAACTAATAAGACACACTTGTGTTATTTTGAATGAACATTGTATATTATTGTCTTTGTAGACTTTGTCAACCACAACCATCAGGAATTTGTTGTCATAGACATCCTATTATAATTAGCATGAAGAGAAGATTAGCATATATTTATAAAAAAAATTAATAAAAACATGAAGAAGTAAATGTTTTATCTTAGTTATATTGAACACCCTACTTTTACCAATAAGGATAAAGAAGTGCAGCATAAGGTATTAACAACAAAAAGAGCACTGATCATACTTTATAGTCATTGAGAAAATAAAGAGAGTTTTTAAGAACCATTAGCGATAACTTTAGAGAATGGTACTCTGTAGTTTATGATAGATTACCTTAATTTAGAAAATAGTAAATAACAAAAGAGAAAAATCACCCTAGACCAAATAGTTTAGTTTGTTATTTTTCATTAGGCGATCATAACACTACTACAAAATTACCTATAACTGGCGGTCCAAAAATCGACAAGAAAACATAATTTCTGTCGGATAATAGGTAAAAATCCAACATAAACTGTTGTAATGTCGGACACCATTACTAGCATCACGAAAAGGTTTTTGATGTCAGTTAGTCCCCTTAATCGGCCACAAAAAAGGAAAGCAATATAAAATAAAAAAAAGGATAGTGTGTCAGGTAAAAGTGACATTGAAACTCACGTCGGATATAGGCGACATTAAAAAAGGATAGTAGTGTTAGTCCTAACCGACACCACCTAACTATTTAATAAATAAAAGGGGTTTTTTAACTTTAATCCTTCAAGAATATTGAAATTTAAAATAAACCTGGTACTAGATTATATATTGATTATGGTCCCTTGATGTGTTCTTAATTCAAAAGAATTAATGTGCATTTTATTTAATGCCTCCCATTAAATATTTAAATTTATTAATATACAAATTTTAATTTATTTTTTGACCAAAAAAGTTTTTTTTTTAATTTATTAATTTTATTTAACATTCTTCAAACTTGAAAGACTCAATAATGTACCTAAATGTATATGTTTCTGGGAACTCACACGAGAACTTCCCGATGGGTCACCCATCCTAGGAGTGCTCTCGTGCGCTACTCGCTTAACTTCGGAGTTCCTACGGAACCCGAAGCCAGTGAGCTCCCAAAAGGCCTCGTGCTAGGTAGGGATGGGAATATACATTTTAAGGATCACTTCCCTGGGCAATGTGGGATGTCACAATCCACCCCCCTTAGGGGCCCGACGTCCTCGTCGGCACATTTCCGGCCAGGGATAGGCTCTGATACCAAATTGTCACATCCCGGCCCGGGGCGGACCACTTCCCGGGCCCGCTCCACCACCGTAGCACGATATTGTCCGCTTTGGGCCCCGACCACGCCCTCACGATTTTGTTTCTGGGAACTCACACGAGAACTTCCCGATGGATCACCCATCTTGGGAGTGCTCTCGTGCGCTACTCGCTTAACTTCGGAGTTCCTACGGAACCCGAAGCCAGTGAGCTCCCAAAAGGCCTCGTGCTAGGTAGGGATAGGAATATACATTTTAAGGATCACTTCCCTGAGCAATGTACCACTTCCCGGGCCCGCTCCACCACCGTAGCACGATATTGTCCGCTTTGGGCCCCGACCACGCCCTCACGGTTTTGTTTCTGGGAACTCACACGAGAACTTCTCGATGGGTCACCCATCCTGGGAGTGCTCTCGTGCGCTACTCGCTTAACTTCGGAGTTCCTACAGAACCCGAAGCCAGTGAGCTCCCAAAAGGCCTCGTGCTAGGTAGGGATGAGAATATACATTTTAAGGATCACTTCCCTGGGCAATGTGGGATGTCACAATCCACCCCCCTTAGGGGCCCGAAGTCCTTGTCGGCACATTTCCGGCCAGGGATAGGCTCTGATACCAAATTGTCACATCCTGGCCCGGGTAGGACGACTTCCCGGGCCCGCTCCACCACCGTAGCACGATATTGTCCGCTTTGGGCCCCCACCACGCCCTCACGGTTTTGTTTCTGGGAACTCACACGAGAACTTCCCGATGGGTCACCCATCCTGGGAGTGCTCTCGTGCGCTACTCGCTTAACTTCGGAGTTCCTACGGAACCCGAAGCCAGTGAGCTCCCAAAAGGCCTCGTGCTAGGTAGGGATGAGAATATACATTTTAAGGATCACTTCCCTGGGCAATGTGGGATGTCACAGTATGACCGAAATGTATTATATTGAACTAATGTATTTAAATGTTAGCACCGAAATGTATGTACTGAAATATATGCACCGAAGTGTATTATATTAAATTAATGTACCTAAATGTGTGTACCGAAATATGTGCACCGAAATGTCAATACCGAAATGTGTGTACCTAAATGTATTATAATGAATTTAATGTACCTAAATGAAAAAGATAAAGTATATCGAAATATATATTGTATAACAAAAATTAGTTTACTAAATGTTTACAACAAACCATATTACAATAAATGAAATGAAAATGAAAAGTATAATAAAATAAAATTAATACATTAAAATTAGGAAGAAAAAGAGAAGAATTAAAAAATGCAAATGTAATTAATAAATGAGGTTATTAATGTATCAAGAGACTAGAATTATATTTTGATTTTACTCATGGTTTTGGTCTAAAAACCATCTTTGCCAAGGATTAAAATGAAGTTTCCTATAAATAAAATAAACAATTATATTGTTAGTCCTAATCGACACCACCTAATAATTCAATAAATAAAATAACAACTATACTGTCGCTCATAAGGGATACCACAAACTATTAATAATAAAAAAATAAAAAGTTTCCTAGCACAAGTAAACAGCTTCATGAGTTATTGAGGAAACACGATTGTTTTTAGCGGATCTATCACTAATGCATTCGGGGAAAAAAAAAAAAAAAAAACATGTCATTTATTCAGTTTGGAGGTGGATTTTTCTTTTGTTCTCAAAGCAGGTCAAGTTCCAAATGGTCCACATGTATCTTCAAATGATACATGCATTCCATATGCGTTCACACACGCTGCAGATTCAGCAAAATCTCAGCACAGATGAGTGTACACCTTTCAGATCCGAAGATGTATCAGTTGATAATTTGTTTGCCTTTGGATCTGCAACTTCAACATTTCCTTTTCTCGGATATACCTTAGGTCGTAGTGTCCTACACAGACAATGCAGAAATATGAGACATGCCGTGATACATAGCCATATTTTTGAAGATCAAACCTACAGCATGTACAAACAAGTTTTCTTATCTTTTGTTTGCTTGGAACTGTGATTTAACCAAGCCACTCTTTGTCATATCCCTTGCGGACGCCAGATCAGGCATTGTTCTGCTCACAACCAGAAACAAGTAGTTAACATTCATATATGGGCAGATTTAATGTATGCCGAGCTCACATCAGTGAAGGGAAATCAGAAAAGATTATTACCTTTCTTGTGGATTAGCTGAGATCGGACGTTTGGGGACAAGTACCATGACTATTGGACCTCTGCATCTTTCTTGGGTTGTATCTGCAGTCGTTGTGCATGTATCAACAACGGATTTTTTTTAACATCAAAACAAGCACATCCAAGGTGAATTTTATATGCGACATGCAGTGAGAGATCAGTTATGGAGGCTAGTGATTTTACCCTTTTTTGTTTCGAATCTGACTTGTTCGAGTGTTATTCTGCCTTTTCCCATTATTTCGTAGCCGGATCCAGACACTCGTACACAAATCAAACAAGCATGTGTTAGTTTGCTTCTTATTTCTGTATAAAATCATCAAATGGACACATATTCAACAATGGAAGGGTCGATGTTTACTTCTGCAGGAAGATTGGAGCTTAGATGTGCCTACATTTCCATCGGGGTATAAGCAATACGATTCTCTTTTTAACCGACATTAACTTTATGTTGGTTGAAAGCAACACGATTCGTTTTTTATGCGACACCATCATTTAAAAAGATTAAAAACTACGTCGGTTATAAGCGACATTAACAATCTATGTCGGTTATAAGCGACATAGACAATTTTATGTTGGTTATAACCGACAGTAATTCCAACACCATGTAAAGTGGTTGTCGGAAATGTCTAATCCGCCACTATATTATATAAAACCGACACCAACCACCGACACAACAAGCCGATTTTGTAGTAGTGTAATCATATTTTACATAGTGAAGAAAATTCTCAAACAAATAGTATCGTAGATCATTTTATTAGTCAAGCAGAAAATATAAAATTAGAAAATATTACACATAATAATTTATTAAACCAGTTATTAGACCATGTAAAAAATTAAAAAAAACTGTTAGACAAAATATAAATCACATTGCATCCCAACTAGAAGATAATAATAAAAATATTCAGATACTTCCTAACAAGAGAGAGATAAATAGCTCATTGATACCATAGATAGTAAGCCCAAGCAAGTAGAAAGTGGGTCACTAGAAATAGTTGACCAATTAAAATTCGAAGTTCAAAAGTTCAATTAGTACATAAAGATTTCACTCAGCAAATAGATAAGTTACATAATAAAATAGATAAATCATTAGTTTAATGGCCGATTCTTGAACCAATAGAATATATATCCAAGTTTTGAAGGAATTAGATATTAAATAAGGGACCAGTTGATTTAATTGATTTTTCATCACAACTAGCATAGTAGTAATATTTCAATTCGACAAAATAATTTAATCATTCAATTAGTTTTAAATTTAGTTGAAAAATTAGATCAAGTTGAAGAACAAATAACATAAATTAATCAAGTTTTGCATAACACGTCTTTACCACTACCACCACCTTTATTACAAAATTAGAAAATTCAACTTTGAGCACAAATAATCATATTAGAATACCTAAGATTAATCATTTTGATAATAACAAATAGAACACATCAGAAGAAAAGAAATAGAAATTAGCAGAAGATTACTTAGCAGTTTGGAAGGAAATTTGTATAAGTTTTATTAGAAGATTACTTGCATATGCACAAGGAAGAAACTAGGCATATTGACACACCCAGACACAAATTGTCCACTTGGACTCCAAATCAAACTGTGCTGACCGACACTCGGAGTGTGACGAAGCCATAAAAGTGTAGTGAGGTGAAAAATGTGAGTAAATTTAAACCTAAAAGTGCCTAAATGAAAGAATGCACTAGTGAGTGAGAATAAACTCATTTGACACGTGATGTCAGAGTATAAGTAAAGTACAATAAAGGTAGGGTAAGAATTATACCATCGAAGGTAATCGCCTATACTAAGATTTGCCAAGAATCCTCGTCGACACGAAAGCTCTTCTACTAAAACCTGTAGGGGTTAAAAATAAGGGTGAGTGGTCTAAAAATAAAACTTTGTAAAAATATTTTTGAAAAGGTAATAACCTCTCGTCGTAAAACAAGTATAGTTTCCAAACATAACATACTACGTATAGTATGAAAATACTTACCTTAGCCAGCAATATCTCAATAATGCAATATGTCACGACATTTCGTAAATAAACACATAACGTCCAGTAATCACATAATTTCATATAAACAAACATATCATATCGAGTGCTCATCGATATATGTTGACACATAAGTTCATGCAGAGATATTCTGACATGAACATGACTGGGTGTAATAGTGATTTACGCTCTAGTATTACAATCATGTGAAGACTGGCATTCTACGCTTCACGTACGAGTTCTAATTGCCTATAGCAATTTAGGACATGACTGGCACCTACAATGGATCCAAAGTGAGCGTACGGTGCGATGTGAACATGCACGTGAAAGACTGGCCCTGGGCGAGTACTAACACCAGTGCAGCACACAATGAGCACATAACGTAAATATGATCATGCCACGGTAAATCAATAATTCGATAATTCTAATCAATGCAATATTATTCATGACGTAACTCCAATTAAGGCATCAATAATAACATGCATACATGTGCATCTAGTAGGATGCAACATAATTTCATGAATTCCCTTAATACGCTAATTCTTATAAACATTAATCTAATATAAGCGTAATGTGGAAAGTTCTTTATCAAATAAATAAATGGAAACTAAACAACTGTGTAATATTTAAAAGCAAAAACTCACTCACAAATCATGTCGTCAGGTTAAACCTACCTTGTGGGGATCGAAGCTTTTTGTGATATGTTGCACCTAGAAATGAAACCATTTACGTAAATATACAACATACTACTGTATATATACATTTTCGTACTAAGTACGACAAGTAAAGAAACTATTTTAAAATGGTCAAATTTCGGAAAATGGATGGCGGATTTGGATTTGGCACGTTGAGAAGCCTAAGGAGGGACCTCGGGTTCTCTCACACGTTGCCGCACACACCACTCTTAGGTTGCAGGCCTAACTTTCAGAGCTCTAAACGAGCTCATTTCGCAACCAAAAGCAGTGATTCAAAAGCCAATTAGAAGCTAAGAATGTGAGGAAGATTTTTATACCAGTTCAAGGACCAATCATGATGAGATTTGGCTGGGTGAATGGCCTAATAGTGGTTTGATGGCATGGTCCAAAGTTCAATAATTCTTGGAAAATTCTTCCCCGAGTTTATTTCATGATACGCTTCACCAAAACAGGTATTCAAGGCCACCATCTAATCCAACAACAAAAGAGAAGTGACTTACAAAACCCCGAGGCTTACCTTGGTTGAAAACTCAAGAAACTCGCTGGGAAATATGGCAACCACGGTGACGTTCATAGTTCATTTCTTCACCAACGGTGAGAAGAAAGATAACATGTGAGGGAGATACAGAGACATGACAGTGCAATGGCCTAAGAACTCATTCGAGTGGTGATGGTGATGATGGGTAGGTGATGGTGGTTGGGATTAGCTCATTGCCTTTGGGTTTACAGAGAGATTAAGAGATATAGGGTTGTTGAAAGAGCATCAAGGCTACTGGTGGCTTGCTGCGAGGCCTGTGGAAAGTGGGTGGTTCGACTGGGGCTTTCCGAAGATGGAAAAATGGCAATGGGTCGTCAGTCCTCTGTGTAACAGAGATGAGAAAGAAGAGATAAATAGCGTTTGAGTGTGAGAGAGAAAGAAATGAAAGGGAGACTAAGAGAGTTAGTGAGCTTGAGGGAGAAGAAGTGAGGTGGCATCAAGAGAGAGGTCAGAGAGAATTCTGGAAAGGGACATGGGGACAAGGGATAAGTGCGGTGTGGGCCCCATGTGGCTCACAAAGCAAAACTCAAAAATCCTCCTAATACCAAATTACCAATTTGCCCTTGGCATTTGGTGATTCGTAAAATCTTCGTTATAACTCCGAATTCAATTCCGTTTGTCGTATCATCAAGTACTTCGAGAATATGGTATAATAATAACTTATACGCATCATGAGATAACGATCAACGAAAGTCAACGATCTCGCCTTCAGGGGCATTTTCGTTGATTCACTCATTTAAAATTAATAAAATCGTAAAATTAGAGACTGGTTGTTACACATGTAGCCATGATAAATTAATACTCTTTTGGATTATCTCCCATATCACCCTACAAATGGACTCTTACACAACAAAATGTTCTGAGATATTGAGGAGCCCAAATGTTAGTTTTATATGAATTTGAAGATTTCAAGCACGATATATTATTAGTAACAGAAGATGAAGTAATGTATACTTATAGCAAAATAAATATCATACATCAACCATCCTGGAGCCCCAAAATTTCCAAGAAAAAACTGTAAAAATATACTACAAAATAAAAGAAGATAGGTGAAAAAGAAGCGGAGATGAACAATACTAGAATAACTTTGATAGAAATAGGAACTGCATGACAGTCAACAAAATGATGGAAACATAGAGGATTTCACATCAGATAATCAAAAGATGAAAAAGCAACACAATAATATAACAAGTGGAGAATATTTCATAGTATCATCATGTAAAGTTACGTACAATAATTCAAGCATCAGATAAAAATATAAACATAATTGTGGAACATGCCAAGATAAATAGAATAATGGTACAAGAGTAAATAAACTTACATCTTTGTACCATTGAGATTTTTCAAATAGGAAAATATTGTGTGCTATACATAATTACACATATAAAAAGAAGGAGTTTTAACGAAAAGTCCGCGGTACTGTTTACTTTAACGAAAAACCACATTTTTACACTAAAAAGTTAAACTAGTACTATTAACTTTACCCTTTATTTTATTCTTATAGTTAAAACTCAAAGTTTTCTAACTATTTTTATTAGTTTTCCTATAATAAAAAAACCATAATTATTATCCCAAAAAATAACTCAATGGCAAGTAACCCCATCCCTTGCGGATAAATTGGAGGGAATAATCAACCGCCACGTGTTACTAAACTGTAGCCTTTCGGACAATCTACAAAAACTGCATGTCCAAAAAAACCATTAACTCAAAGTCAACTTGGAATCCAAAGAGGAAGAAATGAGCCGATTTGGACCTCCATCGCCTCATTCTTCTTCTTCTTCCTCTCCGCCATTGATTCCGATCGGCGAATCCCCAACCCTAATTCCCGGCCTCCCAAATGACATCGCAGCGCTGATCCTCTCCTTCGTCCCCTTCTCTCACCAGGCCCGCCGCCGACCCACCTGCAAATCATGGAGGCTCTTCCTCTCCTCCAAAACCCTAATCGCCCTCCGCCAGACCCATAACCGCACTAACCCTAAACCACCTCCTTTGCGTCTTCCCCTAAGACCCGTCCGTCGCCGCCCCTTACCTCTTCGACCCTCGAACCCTAGCCTGGTGCCCCCTCCCGCCAATGCCCTGCAACCCCCACGTCTACGGCCTCTGCAACTTCACCTCCCTCTCCGTTGGGCCCCACCTCTACGTCATCGGCGGCTCCCCTTCGACACTCGCTCGTTTCCGATCGACCTCCCCTCCCCGTCCTCCGCCATATTCCGGTTCGACTTCAGCACTTCCTCGTGGGACTTCCTCGCCCCGATGCTCACACCGCGCGGAAGTTTCGCCTGTGCTGCGATTCCAAAATCGGGAGAGATTCTCGTCGCCGGCGGCGGATCCCGGCACACTCTGTTCAGCGCGGCTGGAAGCCGAACGAGCTCAGTGGAGCGGTATGATATTGGGAGAAATGACTGGGTTGCAATGGATGGGTTGCCAGGTTCTCGGACCGGGTGTGCGGGGTTCTTTGTTGGCGACGGCGAGAAGAGGGGGTTCTGGGTTATGGGTGGGTACGGCGAATCCAGAACAAGATCAGGAGTTTTTCCTGTGGATGAGCATTACAGAGACGCTGTGGTGATGGAATTGAAGAATGGGAATGGTGGTTGTAGGTGAAGAGAGGCTGGGCAAAATTGTTGTCGTCGAAGATGGCGATGATTGCGGTGGACCTGCCTGTCTTCATGCTTGATCGGAATGTTATATTCAGGTAGTTTTTCCATTTTCTTTACTTTTGTGTTTGAGCTTGGGCTTGAAGTAACATTGTTTGTATGTTCAGCTAGTGACAGTTGGTTCCAATTAGATTGAGATTATTCATGCTAATCTAAGGTTAGTGTCAGCATTAAATATCTCTCGACGCACCAAGTTGAAGTTTTTTTGTTCTGCATTGTGAATATCATTTTTGAATGAACTAAAAGTGTGATCGAGATAGGGATACTTGGTGCTGCCTCATGTTCTGGTGTATAGATGCATATTACATTTCCTTAGACCTCACCAGGTGTGGAATTTATCTTTATTAATTAAAGGAATTTTCACTGAGAGGTGTGCCAAAAACCTGTCTTTTCCATAATTTGGGATATAGGGTTCAAAATGCTAGTGTGACTAGATCATGCGGGGACTGTACACTTTTCTGTAACTTGGGGAGGGAGAGAAATCAGCATGCAGAGTTGCTAAGATGGTCTAGACCAGAGCAAGTACCCACTCAGGGACATTCCTGAAGAAGTTTGTTGTGAATGTAGTGACCAAATTAGTGTTGGAGTTTGGTGGCTTAGATTAGAGCCACATTTGAGTCCCACATTGGCTAGGGGAAGAGTCATGTAGTGCTTTATAAGCAATGCCACCACACACACATATTGTCAAGGCCTTTTGGTAAAATCCCATACCCATTGCTTCCGGGTGGCTAAAGTGAGGGGAGTATCGGCAATACTGACTTGTGTGTGTGGGACCTGTTGGCGACCCGTTGTTGTGGGCTTCCGCACAATAATTAGGGTATAAGAAACTGGATTGAGTTGGCCAGTTGTTTCCATGCACCATGGGAAAAACATGTGTTGTGTGTGTGTGCGCGCCCACGCGCGAGTGTGAGAGAGAGTGATCTGGCTGAAAGTATCCAAATTAGCTTTGATTTTGAATCCTAATGTGCTAGCTCTTGATGATTTTTGTAAGAATATCCGAGCTTTTTGGATTGGTGGAAGTTGTTAGGTGGCTTTGGTTGTATATGATATATGACTCCACTTTAGTTTTGTGCTTGGATTTTTTCGGAACGAAACAACTAGGAGAGGGGAAGGTCTTGTACTTACTCTGATTTGGCATGATTTCGTTAGTACTTATACTTTGCACCATAAGGAGAATGCAGAAGGCTGAGCTTGAAATCTTCCTGTGTTCATTTATATTGAATTCAGGGTTTGTTTACTTATCAATAATGGGAAAATAAGGAACCACTTAACTACGGAATGTGAAAATTTAAGGAAAGGGAATTGGATTAACACTCAAATTGCTGAAATTGGGTTGTTCCATTACGTATTTTAGATAATCCATTACTGATTACATGCAAGTAGACGCGGGGAAGTCATGAAGGGAACCCATTCCGTTTCTTTTCATTCCCATTGCAGATAAACAACCCTAAGAAAAACTTATTATTCTGTTTACAGAAAAGTTCCAAAGTTTCATCATTTGAGGGATATGCGATGATGTAATTTGGATGGTTATGCTAATTTAAATTTATGACGTAAATGACACAGGTTCTACCAACACATAACGCTTCGATGTTTTAGATTACTTTTCTATTGCGGTTTACAGGAGGGAAATTCTTGTTTATCATTCTTATGCAATATATCAAAAATGTTGATTATCAGTAGTTTAGTACAAGTAATTCTATTATATGGGATCACATTCTTTTAAGTTCTCCTTTGTGTATGCTTATTGATGTCTTTTTGGACGTATGCATCTGCCCCTAATTTATGTCCTTTGAATTTCTTTCTCGTTGTTATTAATTTGATCTTTGAGTGATAATTTTATGGAAGTTTTTGCTTATGTTGCTTCCACAGGATATGTACTGCAGATATGACATGGCTTCAAACCGTTGGTGTAAGGAGTCACGTATACCAAGACAGGCCCCATGCAACTCTGCATTTAGATTCGTTGTATTGGATGGAGAGTTGCATGTAATAACCCTTTTGAAGGCAGTTGAGCCAGAAATTTGCAGGTCGCAATTGCATACGAGAGCAGGCACTCTTTACGTCCAAATATACCATCCTAAGAAGAAGACATGGAGATCTATCATAACAAAGTCACCTTTCCGTTACAGCTTGGATTTCAATACTGCCGTTATGAGCACCATTTGCTTGTGAATCTCGATTCTTATTGCTTGTACTTGTGTTGATAATTGTACCGATTGATGTGCAGCGCTGTCTATATTGGTTCTTCGGGGTCATTGCTGCTAGCATATTTGTCTAGTCCAAAAGTACGGCAGACCAAAATAAATACCTTAACTGTGAGTAAAGTGGTAAGTAGTTAAGGTTGAATTCATGAGTTACATATATTTGTATCATTTATTTTTCCATAGAACAGGCATAGATATGTATTATATGCACATGTATGTGTAAAGATGTGTTATATAGCTTTGTTGCTTGTGCACTAATCAATCTTTACCCGTGTCATTTTACGTTTTAAGTTGATTTGTTTAGTATGATTTTCAAGTCCGGTTCCCGGGGTTTGTAGCGTCACCGAGTATTTACTCCGTACGTATGATAATGATACTTTACATCTAAGGTTGGAGTCGGACTCTCTCCTTTGCTCCCCTCTCGTGTTAGAAACATGAGTCGTTATCCCAACAAATAAAGTCTTTTCGGAATTTCCAACCAACGAAAATAATGTAGTGTAAATTCGTAGCACGGGCAAAAATTGAGACCAAAATGCAGACATTCCTAAGCAAAGATTCAGTTTTCCACCCGGTTTGGTGAGTTCCAACATTTTCCATACATGACGAAGCAATTAATGCGGCTAAAGCAAAGGAACTGGATCCTCTCCTGAGCTCGGGATGGGGGTCCACATGAACAGCCCATCTGAGTTATTCAAACTTGATCCAAGTTGCAATTATTATAACTTTTAGAGAGGCCTCTATTTGGAGCTGTTAGATTAAAGTTTAATGGTTCGGATGGGCTACTTAGGAAGATCCCCATTTTGAGCTCAAGAGAGGATCTAGTTCCTAAAGCAGAAACTGGCTGACCGTGAAGAATTGGGTACAAGTCAAAACTCAAACCATTGCTGCGTTAAACCGCAACTTGTATTGCAAGTTTCGCTTTTATACAGCCATGACGTCAAACTCGAGATACACGAAATTCAAGTCCTAATATACAATCAACAAGTCAACCCAAAAGTTTTCATTAACATTTTGGTCAAACTTTTGGGTGGAAAATGAGGAAATTTGTTTTGTCATCGGAGATAAATCTCTATGTATTTACAACACTTATCATGTAACCTGTAAACATAAGAAGATATATATTTCTGTGACATTATCTCGATTGTAGGTCTTGAAGTGAAGGTATTGTGAAGTCCATAGCAAGTGCAAAGAAACATATATTGTGGGTTTTGTTTTGATTTCTTTGTGACCCAAAATGCATGCCAATTAAATAGAGAACTTTCTTTGCAAGACTCGTGCTAACACATGTAAGAAGAGATGCCAACTCAAGAACTTTGAAAGTTTTACTTTGAATTCTACTATCATAGAACAAAATCGTTTTTTCTGTTCTGACCCATTCGATTTTTAATGTTTTTCACAAAAGAAAAAGGTTGAAAGTCATGCAGATTGGTGCATATAAATACACACGTATCTAACCTCCACATAACACATCCTTCGTAATTAAGCTAGCTATCTTTGTTTAATATCTCTAAGTAAAAGATCAATAGATCACCATGAGGTTTCTTAAGTGTTTATTCGCAGTTATAACAGTTGTATTTCTCGTGAGTATGGACTTGCATGTGATTAGTGCAGGCAGGATGTTGCATGATGAGAAAGAAAAGTTGAAGACCATAACGACGGTGAACAAAATCATCGTGTTGATGGATTCGAAGCAGAGGGGCCCTCCTCCTCCCGGTGGACATAATGGGAAGATCCCTGGGTCCGCTGATCTTGCCGATACAACCATCAACCAAAGGAACTTTGCAGGCCACACTACTACTACTCCACCTCCTCCACACGATGCATACCCTAATAATGCCGTGGCTAGATCACTACTCGGCGTGGCTATAGATCGTTAATCATTTATTTGAATGATAAACAATAACTACAAAAATTCCAACGTAATAAGATACATCAAATTATGTGATATAATATAGTATTTCTTGTGCAGACTAAGTAAAGGGGAAAAAACCTATGTAATGTGGTATAATATAGTGTTTACTGTGCAAAATAAGTAGAGGGGAAAAAGACTAGTTATCTTTGTATTGCTTGCAGCACACTCTACTTGAATAAGAAACTAGACGAATTCTCTTACAATATCTTATTTTCTTTCTTATGCAGTATGAGAGTTGAGACGAATAGGATGTAAGACGTTTTATTCAAGCACCATGAGATGTTTCAAAGAATAGTTTAAAATGTTTCATTTGAAAGCTAAACATAAGCATTACAGTAACAAAAATGTGATCAAAAAATGTGTTGCCCGAATACTATCATGGGGCAAAACAAAGAAATATACAAAAAAAAAAATAAAAATAAAAAATAAAAAAACCCACATACAGTGTTTACAACCATATCTCCTAGTATTGAAATCTTCTAATCAATCGTGGAAATGTCAAGTTAGACTTGGTACACCAATGCAGTGTGCCTCGGTAAATAACCATGGCATCATAAAACATGTAACGCTTTGCCGACCTCCCATCTGCATCCCACACTGAAATCCAATGGAGTCCATCACAATCATTTAACCTCGCGTTCTTCGGCCAAAGCCCTCATTCATCGTGAGCATGTGAGGCTTTTAGTCTCAATCAAAGATGTTAATTGTTTTGTAGATGTAATTTTTGTTCAAGGAGAAGGTTGAAATTTACATCCACAATGGTCTCCATCGCTCTCAAGCCTTTTCTCCCATTCTCTTTGTTGCCATGGTCTCCTTCACTCTCAAACCTTCGTTTCTATCCCTGTCAAATCTTGGCTTGCTGGAAAAGTTTGAAGCAGTTTAAGCTTCTTCCGCCTTTTGATTTGGATTGAAGATGATTTTAAGTCAAAAAGGTTAATGTTTTCGGGTAAGTTCTTTGAATCCTACATCTCGGAGTTTTTTTTTTTTTTTTTTTTTTTTCAAATCTATGGGTTTTGTCTTCTTCAATTTTAAAATATTAAAAATTGAATCTCTTTTTTTGGGTAATATTTTTCAATTAGATTATGCTATGGGTTCTGATGAGGCATGGAATTGGGTTTGAGAGTTTTGATTTAATGAGAGAGATAAGGAGTATACACGGAGAGAGGGAGGTAGGTCATTTGCAGAAATGGAGATTAGGGTGAGAGAAAAATGGGAGAGAAGGGATAGCAGACTAAATTTTGATTTTATAATTTTGGGGGGTTTTGTGTTTAATTTTGTGGTTTTGTGTGAGCGCTTTGTTATGATTTAGGTATCAATTTCGGGAAATGGTGGTGTTGCAATTTTGGGGCTTTCGTTGCAACCTGGGAACCACTTTGTGCTCAAGGTATAGAAAAGGTATGAAACCTCATTGTACCTTATCTTCAGTGGATAGGAATTTTGTTGGTTTTTCGATTTTATCCGGGTCCCTTTTTTTACCTCCAAGGTCTGCATTTGCTGATGAGTTTTTTTACTTTCTTAGTATGGCCTTTAAATTTTTTTGGTAGTTTTTGTAGACATAGCGTATAAATGTTGACCTGAAGTTTGGACATAATCATTACTTCCTTTTACAATTTATTAACGTTAATTCAATTAACTAAAGTTGATTGGAATTTGACGATGATCGAGATATTTGTATTCAGATGGGATTTGTGTATGAATTTTGTTTTTGTAATTTTGGGTTTTGTTTATATCGTTAGATTTGTCGTCTGGGCATATGATTTGCTTCTGTTTTACATTTCAGGAGATGTTACTCTTCGTTTCTTGGGGCTTTTGTGTGAAGCTTTCGAAGGCCTCTGTGCTCACGGTAAATAATTATGGTTTTTTCCTTTGAGGCTTTTGCGGAACAATTTTTTTTAATTTTTTTCTTTGGTAATATTATGATAGTTTTATTTTATATATTGTGAAAGTTGATTGTTTGAGAAACTGAGTAACTGTGTACTTGTTTGTAGTTATGGTATGAGACGTGATATAAATTGAACAGGGTGAGATAAGGTATTTAGGTATCACAACAATTGATCGTGAAAAACATTTAACAAACTACATTAGAAACATTCATTCATTTATATTATATATGGTGGTTCCAAGCTTGGGTTCTTTTTCCATGCAACCTTCTGTTAACCAAAACGGTTCTATTCATTTTGGTAATGCTAAAAATGGACAAATCGCATCAGAGCGCTCTGCTACCCCTTTGTTATCTGATTTCATGGATTCATCTATGTGTTATCTTCATAACTATTATATGTCTGCTGCCTATTACTATGGAGGTAAAACTTATGGGTGAACTCTTTGCTTTAGATTGGTTTATTTATGGATTATCAGAATCTTCTTTAAATTCATGTATATTTTTTTATACCAAAATTCATGTGTGTGATATGAATGGTTATGTGAATTTCTTTTAGGCTATGATGAGACTAGCAACGACTGGGATGACTAATTGAGATATGTAAATCCTGAGGGAGTAGAAATGATTTTGTAAGTACCTCTTCTGACTTCACAATTGTGAACTGGGTAGTCACTGTAACTGGTTACAAGCTTCCTGTGATAGTTGTCTAACGCTTTGAAGTCAGCTCTCTAAAATTTAAATTATCTTTCTAAGTTTTCTTTTCTTCTAATTACATAAAATTGATATTTTTATATGGTTATTTATTTGTCAGAAGTTCTGGTATATCAATTTCTTTTTTCTCAAAATTTTCGCTTCGTTTTATATAATGCACAGAAAGAAGGAGGAACGCCCGAACGGGAGAAATGAGCAGTTAAGGCTGTTTAAGATCTTTATGACGTTGTGCACCATGACATCCTTTCTATGGACCTGAGGTCAGTCAAAGATGTGTTATATGCGTATGGGTAGAGTTTCCATTACTTGATTCTCCTCTGCTTATATCACTTTATTGGCGCCAATTTTAGGGGAAATTATGAGATATGGAAATTGTTGCCAAATGCAAGGACATAAGGTTGTCTATTTGCAAAGTTACGTTGAAGTGGCACAAGGACCCTAAGTTGGTACGTTTGAGTAGATTACCTGATCTCCTTAGTTGGGTTTAGGTTTAATGCTCAGTGGTATGTTGTGCTTCTACTTCTTTTTAATTATCGAGGATATGCCGAGAACCCACTGAAAAGATTGTATTTGTTGTGTTGATGTATTGTTGAGCGAGAGATGCAAAAGGAAGGACGTATTCAATCTCAAGATCTGTGAGCTTTCACTTCTTAATTTTATTATTAATAATTTTATTTGCTCTTCGAAATTTGAATGTATGAGCTTTTTAATTTTTTTATGATTAGTTTACCTGAGATGGGTTATGGGTATATTTTTAGATTATGAAATTTAATGTTAATTGATTTTCTAGGAAAAATGTGAGACTATGAGTGAGTATATTAAAAGGCTGAAACTTTGCATAAAGTGGTTTCGAGAGCTTGAGGAAAGCTACTTATTAGAGCGTGAGAAGTTAGAGAATGATTCTGGGGTTATTGAATTCAGAATTTTGATTTAGAGTTTTTTTTGGTTTTTTATTATATTGGAGTTAAATTCCGTTTTTTGTTTGGGCATTCAATGGCATGCATGCTTAATTTCATTGATTGGTAAATATGTTTTGTATTCCTACATTATTTTGTAAAAACTTTGGCATCCAACAACGTTATCCTTCTTAGCTAGCATTCTTGATTGTATTATTATTTTTTTGTTAGTTTTATGTGCTTATGGTGATTATTATATGCTTTTAACTGGTTAACTTTGGGTTTGAATCTATAAACCCTTTAGCCGGTTATTTTGGGCTTGATTTAAGAGTATTATTAGATGGTTAAGCATTTGACCACTTTAATGTTTACTTAATTTTAAGATATGCTATTTGAAAGTCTATTTTTTCCATGTTTCATCAATACAGATAATGCAGGAGTGGAAGGGATTGGGAGACAAATAAGTGTGCAACTGAGGAGGAGGAAGCTGAAGGAAGCAGTAAAATTCAGTTGGATCCTAAATGAACTCTTAAAGAATAGATGGTAGGATGAAATTTTAGATATCAGAAGTTTGGACGAAATGAATCCTCCAATTTTTTTTATATAGTTTAGTAATATTTTAGATAAATGAATTAAAAATATGGTGTGTATAAAATCTAAGCAAAATACGTATAACACATTTAGTCCATTAGTTAACACTTATATGCAATACATATAATCCATTTGACATTCCCGCAACAGTGGAATGTCAATATATAATTACTGGTACAAAAAACACGTTGCACGATGCAGGTCCTTCGTCGTGCAAAGTCAAAAAATGTTGCTCAAAAATTAGCGCAACGAATTTTTGTAGTGCACCAACTGTCACACCAAGGTAGTGACAGAAGGGTTTGCGCGACGAAGAAGTGACCTACGTTGCGCAAAGTAGTTTTGCGCGACGTAGGTCACTTCTTCATCGCACAAACCCTTGTTTTTTTTTTTTTTGCAAGAATATTTTTTATTTAATTTTTAATAAATATTGTAATTAAATTCTAAACAATAATTAATAAACCAAGAAAAAGTATTTAATTATAAAATATATGAAAATGTACATACAAGATGTCTGAATATAAAAGAAAAAACTACAACAAGTAGTCTTCTAGGCTTGATGCATCAGACTACTGGGTATCGGTTGGGCGAAGTGGTTAGGAGGTCGAAGGTGGAGCAAGATCAGGTGTTGGCATCAGGATTTGGAGGTTGGACATCTGTAAGGCCCATAAAATGATACTCATCTTCTTGTCCTATGCCGAAAACTGGGCTGCAATCTCGGCTTCTCGGGCTTCTCGAGCTGTTGCTTCTCGAGCCAAAAACTGGAATTACAACCCAATTCAAAAGAATTGGGGTTTAACTCCATGACCATGTCCATTTTCGCTTTTGGGAAACGACCCACTAACTGAGCAATTTAATTGAAATTTGAATTCCGATATCAAAAGTCAAACTACAAATGCGCAACATGACCATAGAATCCAAGGGAGAAACTGCAGAGAAAGAAATAAAAAGACTTACGTCTATGTTCGGTATTGTAACCCCTAGCTTAGCAGACAAATTTTTCTTGAACACATTAAACTTGGGAACCAAGTCCTTTGCAATAGGGTCACCATTAACACCAAATTCATTAAACCTACATATACAGATGTGTCATCAACACAAAGGAACATGATATTGTTTTAATTTTTAAACACATCAAAGTGCAACAAATTTTTTGACAATCTCAACAATAAGCCTAGCAAAGTCGTGCATAATTCTTGCAATATAGCATACAAACAGATACACAGCAAGGCTGTAAATAATATGTAAAAGTTAAAACAATAGCAAAACTAACGAGTAAAGCGCCCGAAGATACTGAAACTTAACAATATCAAGGCAGAAAACTCATGCAAGGAGGCTAACTTAATCTCAACATTGAAGACACTTGAAATACCACATTTATAATGAGAAATGCATTACCCTTAACAGATTATCCAGCTTGTCAAGAAGGCTAACAATCTTTTAAACCTCCTCTGTAGCATTAAGACCAGGATCGTTTAAAGCAGTAGCTTCAAATCCAGAAAGGGCCATTTCATAGTTTTCCAGATATATGTTTACCTAAAACCAGAAACTTAATCTTATAATTGTACAAAACATGAGATATTGAGTAGTACTAAGGACCCAATCGGGTGGCAGAATGTCTTTCTAAGACTCATGCAACTTATGTCACTTCATACATCCTTCTCTTTACTTAACAAAAACAGAAAATAATATATAATTACTATTTCCTATTCTCTCCACTTGTATTAGTACAACTCTATCTTTAACCTATCTAGATGTTGATTCATAGAAAAGAAAGATTGATGAATCATCGTCTACTTGAGAAACTTATGAGTACTAATTCCAGACAAAACACAAGAAAGACTGAGCTTCCAGTGGCACAGTTAAAATATAGGTCTGGATTGGACTGCATTCTTTCATCCTTTTCCTGATACGCAACATAAAACATTAGAACATCTTCTAGCTGACACAAGATCCATACTTACAAGAAATACAACACATAGACAACTGACTCTACAATAGTTCTTACTTAAGCACTTACAACATTTTGGTATGCCTTCCAAGATTGCAGAAGTTTGGAATGATCACAAGCTCCAGTCACAAAGAAACTTGTAAGACATGCATTTCCAAGATTGTCTGCCAATAAAGTCAGAAAAATTCTATTAAACAAAATAAGCAATGATCTCCAAAAAAATAACTGTCTGCCAATAAAGTCAGAAAAATTCTATTAAATGAAATAAGCAATGATCTCCAAAAAAATAACCAAAGAAATGAAACAAGGGATCAAGTGAATCAGTAAAAAATATTTATGCATGTACAAGATACCAGTCAAACTATGCTAACTGGAAGAAGGCTAGCAAACATCCAAGGTAAATGGTAAAGCAAACTAAGTGTTACATGCTATACAACTTATCAAGTATAAATCTTACTCAAATCCGAAGAATATAGAACTTTTTGAGATGGTTGATTATGAGATCTTACACCATGAATTGCCATCCTTGACATCAAGAGTTATGGCTTCCTTGGCATGTTGAATGCTTTCATCAACAAGTTCTGCTTCATTGTCGGTCCCCAGAAAAATGATGAAAATTAGGTAAGCATAATGATGCACACATCATGAAAAACAACAAGAAAAACAAGTTGAGCGACAAAACGGTTGCCTTGAGCCATTTTTCTTTCAAGCATCGAAAGTTGACAAAGTATTTGCCTGTTTGGACCCTACCTCCAAACGCAATGCACATATCAATCATAAAAGTTATAGTACAATGAATTGAGAGGTCACTGCAATAAAACTACAAGAATCTAATCAAGAATAACCTTGCTTAGGGCAAGATTAAAGCAGTTTTTGGTTGAAGATAGATCTCCCTTCTTCCAAATGCAGTTACCTAAACATAGCCAAGCATCTGCAAAAGATGGATTCAACTTAACCTGCATTGTCATTTAATTTATTTCAGGAAGTGAACTGAAAGCATTACAAACATGCTCAACTACAAGAAGTCACAATGCATTCTTACAGCTGTTGAGAGATGATCACTTTGCTTCTTTTCTATAATTCGGTAAAATATCCAATATCTTTCCTCTCAGATATTCGTATTTCGCACGTTGAGCCGGATGTTTTCTTTGCTCTGGTAAAAGACACAGTTTTTGAAACTTGAACTAATAAGATACAAATACAAATGCAACATAATAACAAAGGAATTAGCAATGACAACGATTTGAGAACACAATGTAGGCATTATCGTTACAGAAACAACACTTTTATTAGGGGGAGATTTTGAATTCATCAACTTTTTAGTCTATTTTTCAAAGTTTAAGCTTCTATGTGTACCAATGTAGTCCAAAATTGGAACTTCAAAGTTGAAACAAGCATATCAACAAAAACCCACAAAAGAGAAAGGCACAAATCAGGTTTATAATAAAAGGGCACTTAGGTCAGCTTCAAATGGAATTAACAGAGATTAAAACGAAATGGGTAAATGGAAAAATTATCAAGAGGAATGGAATCGAGGAGGTTGAGAGCAAGATCGGAATCGACGTTTAATCTAGAGATTTTGTCATCTAGGTCGACCAGAAAGTAGGTGTCTCGGAGGAGGTAAAGATCTTCGGTAGCTCTTGCGGCTTTCGCCAGTGCGTCGTCTTCCACTGCTCGACTACTCATCACTTAGACACAGTTGCACGCAGAGCCAACTGTGAGAATGAGAAATGATTCTCAACTCCAAGTTGTTCTTTGGAGGAAACTGAAGCAAACGACGTCATCTGGGTGATGAAAGGGATATTATGAGTTTGTGCTGTGTGAAATAAGCAAGAGGAGCACTCAGCTCTGAGCGTGAGCGTGACAGAGTGATAGAGAGGGCGAGATGAGTGAGAGGGGAGAGAAACCGAGTGAGCCAGAAGGAATAGAGAGACAGATGGGTGGGTAGCGTCTGGACTCTTTTCCAATTAAACCTTAAAAAAAAAAAGCCTATTTTTTTCAATTAAACTGCCAAAATTTTAACAATTGCGCAACGTAGTTATAAATTATGACGTCGCGCAAAGTGCTTTTGCGCAACGATCACATTATGGCGTCACGCAAGGTATTTTTTTTTAAAAAAAATTATTATAAAATTTACTAAAATTTGACTTTACTCCCTTCAAACTCAATTTTTTTTACATAAAACCCACAATAATATATTTTTCTAACAAAACCCAGACCCAAACTAAAATAATAAATTTAAAGCTACTTAATAAATATACATACCATTCAATTTCTTAAGTGTTATACATACAAATAAATAAATTTAAATCTACTTAATAATTATATATATATACACACACACATACATACACCATTGAACTTGATGGGATACGAAGTCTACAAAACTAACTTCAACGATCCAAATGTTAAATTTGTTTGTATATGCTTCAAGATCACATACGCAAAAAATTGCAAAAAAAAAAAACATTCAGAGATCAAGTAACGGGACAAAATTTTTCGACGGTTATAAACGAAAAATCATGATTTAACGGTTATTGTAACTCCGATTTTGATTATTTTTTATAGCTACATTCCTTGATCCTATATGAATACGATTAATGAATTCAATCTTCAATTCAAAATATTTACACTAGTGGATTATGTTATACTTAATGAAAGTATAAATAAACTCTAAGTGTTAGTGGATTTATCATTATGATAGGATACGCATCCTATGAAACTAATTTCAACAATCCAACCGTCAAACTTGTTTGTATATACTTCAAGATTATATAAGCCAAAAATTGCAAAAAACAAACATTCAGAGATCAAGTAACGGAACAAAACTTTTTTACGGTTATAAACGAAAAATCATAATTTAACAGTTACTTTAACTCCGATTTTGATGATTTTTTACAACTACACTCCTTGACCCTATATGAATACAATGAATGAATTCATTCCTCAATTTAAAATATTTACACTAGTGGATGCCACCAAATCTTATGTTATACTTAATGAAAGTATAAATAAACTCTTAAGTGTTAGTGAATCTATTGTTTTGATGGGATAAGCATTATACGAAATTAGTTTCAACGATCCAACCATCAAACATGTTTGTATATACTTCGAGATCGCATAAACCAAAAATTGAAAAAAACAAACATTCAAAGATCAAGTAACAGAACAAAACTTTTCGACCGTTATAAATGAAAAATCATGATTTAACAGTTATTTTAACTTCGATTTTGATGATTTTTTACAGCTACACTCCTTGACCCTATATGAATACAATGAATGAATTCGATCTTCAATTTAAAATATTTACACTAGTGGATACCACAAAATCTTATGTTATACTTAATGAAAGTATAAATAAACTCTTAAATGTTAGTGAATCTATTGTTTTGATGGGATACACATTCTACGAAATTAGTTTCAACAATCCAACCGTCAAACATGTTTGTATATACTTTGAGATCGCATACGCCAAAAATTGCAAATAACAAACATTCAAAGATCAAGTAACAGGACAAAACTTTTCGACAGTCATAAACGAAAAATCAAGATTTAACGATTATTTTAACTCCGATTTTGATGATTTTTTAGAGTTACACTCCTTGACCCTATATGAATATAATGAATGAATTTGATTTTCAATTTAAAATATTTACAGTAGTGGATACCACAAAAAAGACTTTGCGCAAAGTGGTTTTACGTGACGTAGGTCACTTCTTCGCCGCGCAAACCCTTTTTTTATTCTTTTATGGCAAAAATATTTTTTATTTAATTTTTAATAAATATTGTAATTAAATTCTAAACAATAATTAATAAACCAAGAAAAAGTATTTAATTATAAAATATATGAAAATGTACAAACAAGATGTCCGAACAAAAATGCAAAAACTACAAATCTTCTAGGTTTAATAAATCATGCTACTGGGTATCGGCTGGACGAAGTGGTTGGGAAGTCGAAGGTGGAGCAAGATCAGGTGCTAGCATCGGGATTTGGAGGCCGAACATCGCTAAGGCCCGTACAATCAAGTTGATACAACAAAATCTTATGTTATACTTAATGAAAGTATAAATAAACTCCAAGTGTTAGTGAATCTATTGTTTTGATGACATACGCATTGTACGAAACTAGTTTCAACGATCAAGAAATGTTAGAATTTTTAGTAGTTCTGATTTCTTTTCAATTTTTACTTTATTTTATTTTGAAGCCCTGAGTTTTATAAGAACCATCTACCCTGTGCATACACTAGATACTCCTAACATTTCAAATAAACTACCAGTGAGTTCTATAACTTTACTAATATTTATTTGCAATGCAAGTTAAATTGTTGGTTTTCTGTTTGTCAATGCGTTAGTAACGCATTGAGGTTGCCATGTCAGGTGAGTTCAAGTTCTACTTAGTACACAAGGGTTGTTTTTAGCTAATTCTCTAATTTGTGTGCTCTTCATCATGTCTTTTATTTTGGTGGTAGTTAGGTGTTATTAATATGAAGTGTGAGCTGGTTGATCCAGATGGTCTACTAAAGCGGCTAAGGGTATTGGAATCAGTTGATGTAGATGGCGTTTATGATTGATTGCTGGTGGGGAATAGTAGAGGGAGATGCTCCACATAAGTATAATTGGAATGGATACAATAGGCTCTTTCAGATGGTGTGTGAGCTTAGACTAAAGTGACATGTCTGTTTTATATAAATTCGTTTTTTCAATTGCAGAAGCTTTTTCCTCTCATTGGGCATATAAACAACATGTGTGGTTAATCGTTTTGCCATCTTTGTGGTCATTTTTATTCTTTCTATGCATGTTTTTGCTGGCAATTTAACAACTGATTGTAGAAACTTTTGTCGTTGTATCTTGATGCTTCTTAATAGTGGTGGTGCCATGCATGTTCTTGGTTAAATTAATTGAGTACATCCGTAATTTGGAATAGTTCTTTTCTAAATTGGCAGGAATTTTTTCAGTCGAGGAGATTGTTGGATACTTCTGCTAATTGGATCAATGGAAGCGATAGCCAGTTATTAGGGGTATCTTTTGGCAGGATTACAAGGACTTTGTTGCGGATGGGATTCAAACAGAAGCTTTCAACTTGAACGAGGAGAGGGAAGAAGGTTATTTTCATGCAGATGGAAAGTTTATTAATTATGCCATTAAAAAATGAAGTCAAGGTAAACATGTTTATCATTTTTGGCAATAAGAATGTTTATCATTCTTGGGTAGTTAATGCTAGAGTGTTTATTGTACAATTAGGTTCTTGGAGTTTACTGATGATTTGCTATGCGTGTAGGTCATAAAATATTTTTTATACTGAAGCTTTCATCTCTCTGATTAAATTCAGTTGAATTAAGTAATTCAGTCGATTAATTAATTCAGTAAAAGAGAACCAAAAAACGTGGAGGCGGAGTCAAATGCAAAATCATAGAATCAGAAATTAAGGTAATCTTTATGCATTTCGTATGATTTGTTTGAATAGGATGATTTATAACTGTTTCAGTATTATGTTTCTTTGTATGCAGATTACCATATGTATTTGAGAGCACAGCTGATGTAAGTTCTCTCTTTATGCCTCTATCTCTCCGTGCATCGATCTGTTTTTTGTCAATTTTATTCTTCTGTATTCATTATGTTTATCCTGAACCAAAAGTTTCTTATCTTTTATTTATGAGTGTGTGCTGCTCGGTCTCCAATGATTATTTATATTTCCAAGGGTATAATGGGAGGAAAAATCCATTCAACCTCCACCAAATTGCAGGGAATCCAATTAAGATGCTTAATTGATTTTTTTTTTTTTCAGATGATAAATGTTTAAGGTTAAGCTTTGAAATTGCAGATTTATAAACTATGAGTAGGGTTTCCGGGCAATATAGTCATTTCCTAATGGGCAATGAATAATTAAGGTTTGAAATCGAAAAGTAGATTGCAAATGTCGTTCGTGATGAAAAACCTACAGGAACATTAGTTCCTAGCATATGTGAAACATGTGTGAATTTTAATCACAAAGTGCAGTTGTACTCGAGACTGAGAGAGTGGCGTTTAATTGTTCTTCTATGTGATGTTGTTGATCTTACCCTTTATATGTTTAATTTTATATATACTTAGTTGAGTTATTTTTTCCTTTTGGAATTCAGGCCCAGACACTATTGATTCCTCAAATTTTTCGCCATGAAGCAAAAGGTGGTGACTCACGCAGACAACTTGTTGGGTTTTACGGCTTAAAATTAAGATGATGCAAAAAATTAGGTTTGTGTTACCTATTTGGTTTTGGTGTCCTATTTAGGGTTTGTAATTTGTGGGATTTGGGTTGTAAGAGTTTAAACACTCTTTTGTAATCTCCGTTTGTTTAGTAAAATTCCTCGCAGTGCTTCGCCCATGGACATAAGCTTTACACCAAACCACGTAAATCTCTTGTGTTAGTTTGAGATTGTTTGTTTTAGCTTTCGCCTAGGACTTTGATATTTGGTACTTTGTTATAATTTGCTTCCATTTGCATATAAAAGTACAACAAGTGGTATCAGAGGCCAAGTTTCGACTTGGGCTTTGCTTGGTAGTCACCATGAAGCCTTCTGTGTCATCGGTGAAAGTTGATATTGAAAAGTTCGACGGCAATGACTTTTGTATTTGGCAATTGAAGATGTGTGCTTTGTTAGTTCAACAAGGGCTTTTGACAACGCTAAAGGGTGTGAAGGCTTTGCCGAATTCATGGACTAATGAGGAAAAAGAAGACGTTATGGAGCGGGCACTTGGAGCAATTCTGCTGACTTTATCTAATGAAGTCTTGCATGAAGTTGGTAATGTCAAATCTACATTGGAGTTGTGGATCAAATTGGAGAGTTTGTATATGACCAAATCTCTTGCTAAACGATTGTATTTGAAGAAAAGTTTGCATACTCTTCGTATGGATGAAGGCATGTCAATTCATAGGCATGTTGATGAATTCAATAAACTTATGATGGATTTGAAAAGTGTGGATGACCAAATTAGTGATGAGGATTATACAATACTTTGTTGTGTTCTTTATCTCCTTCGTATGAACAATTTGTCGATACCATGCTATGTTAAAGAAATCAACCCCATCTCATTAAAGGACCTACACAAATCTAGAATAAAGAATTCTAGAACATTCACTAAGGTTGGTTAGCTAGATTATCCAAGTTAAAGTAGTACTTTGTAGAAATGACTAGAATGTTGTTTCTTAAGTTGGTGGAAGAGTCTAGAAGAATGGTGAGGTTTCCACCAACATGCAAGATTAGTGTAGATAATTCTAGCTTAGGAAGTTAATGGAATTATCTAGATATCTCTAGCATGGTGTGTCCATACTTCTCCAAGGTTCCATCCATGCCTATAAAAGGAGAAGGCATCCACACCATTTGTATAAAAAAAAAAAAAATCAACAAGCAACCAATCAATTAAAAAGAGCTAAGTAAAAGAGTGGGAAGCCTTGTAAGTAGTCTTGTAAGAGTGTGAGTGCTCTAGAGTTTGTCTCTAGAAAGTGAGTGAGTGTTATTGCTTCTAAGATTGTCCTTTGAGAGTGTTGTAATATTTTGTTTGTGTAATACAAGTAATTTTTTTACTTGTATTGTCTCTCCAACACTTGTGTTAGAGTTGTGTACTCTAATTTTTTTTGCCCAACATGCTATTTTGTAGAGAAAGTCTTAGTTTGGAAGATGTTAAAGCCGGCTTGAATTCTAAAGAGCTAAAGAATAAAGTGTCTGACATACAAGATGGAGCTTTGGTAGTTCAAGGAAGGAATAAGGAAAAGGGCAAACTTGGAAAGAACACGTGTAGCTATTGTTATAAGGATGGTCATTGGAAAGTAGATTGCCCCAAACTCAAGGGCAAAAAGAAGGCCTTTGATAAGTCTTTTGCTAGTGTTGAGGCTAACATTGCAGAAGATCGTTGTTCTGAACTCCTTTAAAGGTTATGTGAGGAGGTGGAGCATGGTACTCAAGCTCTTTGGGTGGAGTGCAATTCGCACTTTTTGTTTGTATGTTCAATATTTTGCTTGGATTTTGTTTCGTATTTGTTAGTTTTCATAATGAAATTTGTTGGAGAAGGCGTCAGAGAAAATTTCAAGTTTGAAGACTTTTGGATTTTTTATTTTTATTTTTGTTTTTTGAGTCTAGGTGAAAATCAGTTTTGAAAGAATTTGGTGCACGTTTACGTTTGTTTTTTGGTATCCCAAATTTGAAGTTTGTATTTGATTTGGAAGTTTGTTAATTTCTCACCGAGGTGTAGATTGTTGGGTTTTACGGCTCAAAATTAGGATGATGCAAAAAATTAAGTTTGTGTTTCCTATTTGGTTTTGGTGTCCTATTTGGTTCTGTGTTTGAAGTTGGAAAAATATATATGTTGCCTTTACAGTTTGATTAACAATTCTTAATTAGAATTGGCTAATTTTTGTAATAAGCATTCGTTTGTACTCATACTTTTAACGTTGGAGGTTTATTCTAATTTAAGATGGAAATTGATGTTGCAAAGAGTTTAAAATGTCTGGTCGAAACGCTGTTGTTCTGTATGCAACTGAGCTTCTCAATTTCTTAATTTCTGAACATTTGAGGTACTCTTCTTCTTAACAACCCGTTCTCTCCACTTCCTTATTTTCTGTTTGCTCACCGAGAGAGTGGAGAATGATTTCCTGAGTTTTCTTGCTTTGATTATTTAAGACTGAAACTAATGATGATTTTGTTGAGAAATAAGCTTTTAAATGAAACTAAGCTGCAGAAACCAAGTCCAGGGTAAGTTGGGTTTGAGAGAGTAAAAGTGGGATTATGACGGTTTAGAGAGGAAAGTAAGGGTGGGATTAGATGAAGGGTTTGATGGAAGCTAACTCTTAAATATGATGCCTTTGAAAACAAAGTCAATGATAAGTTGAAGGGTTTGAGAGAAAATAAAGGTGGGATTAATTGGAACTAAACCATTCAATAGAATGGATATATTCTTATGTGTATTTGGAATACAAAGTAGTATAATACGTGAATGTGATACATGTGGTTTATAGCTTCTATACTTTTTCTTATGTTTTTTTATGCCTTGGTCCAATGACCTTTTGAATTCAATCTGTTTTTTAGAAATTTGGTTGCAAGAAGAAGTTGGAAAGGCAGCAAAATTGGAAAATTGAGTTACCACAATCACCTTCTAAACAGCAGAGGAGTCTGTATTTGATGTTATTTTTGACCGGGATGAGAAGATTGGAGTCCCGATAGCATTCGTATTAGAAATAAGCATCAGAGTGAGTTTTATTTGAGTTCATAACTTACCTTTATGTGCATTTTTGGTTTGAATAAAGTGACGCGATTGTCAACGCTTTTCTTCTTGCTTTTACTTTATGTCTTGGTTTGTTAAATGCATGTATGATTTGTTTCTTTCTGTTAGGTAAAATAGTTTTTGTTAGATAGTGGGCAGTAGAGAACTAAGTGATAAGGTAAACTGTATGGTTAGATAGAGATGATGGGTACAGATTAGTTAATTAGGTTTAATGAATGATTATTTGCTTTGTCAGTGTGTTGTAACAAATTTTTTTGGTGTGCAGGTATCTGAAAATTTTGAACCCTTTGCCCTGGGCGAAGGCACATAATTTTTGTTCGCAATTGATACAAAAGCAGAAGAAAAGAGGTAAAATTTTTATCAATACTGTTTTTTTGCTTTCGATTGGTGCTATGTGATTTTTAATGTTAATTGTTCAAATAAGGTAAACTGTATGGTTGGATAGAGATGATGGGTACAAATTTGTTAATTAGGTTTAATGAATGATTATTTGCTTTGTCAGTGTATTGTAACAAATTTCTTTGGTGTATAGGTACCTGAAAAATTTCAACCCTCTGCCTTGGCTGAAAGTAAATAATTTTTGTTCGCAATTGATACAAAAGCAGAAGAAAAGAGATAAAAATTTTATCGGTGCTGTTTTTTGCTTTTGATTGGTGCTATGTGATTTTTAATGTTAATTGTTCAAATTATTTTGAATTTTGTTTACCCTCTGTTTCATATCTTTATTGCTTATTTTCTTGGTGATTCTATTTAGTTTGTGTATTGAGATTAATTGTGTTTTGTCTGTGGTCATTGTTGATTTTAGCATGTGAATTAGAATGTTATTACAAATTTTTTTTCAGCTTATGATAGATGCAATTAAAAAATCTTAAGTGTGGTGACATTTTATAGCAAATTTTCTGGAAATTTTTAACAGGCAAATTCAGTTGATCTTTGTACTGAATGATGGGATGACATTATTAAGACTTGAAAAGTAACATTTCCTTGGTTGCTTGTCGTTTGTTGTTTTCTATTTCTTTCTCCTTGAAATGGTTGTTTTTCTTTTATTGTTTTCAAATTCTTTCTTCTTATTTCCCTGCCTGCCTTATGTTTTATTTGTTTTTTGGGTTTCAAATGAGAAGTTCAGTTCAATGCTTGATCGCAGAATGCTTGGTTGCTGGATATTAGACGAGTGATAGAAGGAATCGGCGGTGGGTTAATTATCTATGTGGTAATTGCGAATTGCAAACAAACTGTATTTTTTTAATTTTTTTTTTCTCTTTTTTTTGCTTCTTCTTTATAGCTCTCTCTTTGAATTAGTTATAGGAGTTGTTTTTCATTATAGGTAAAAGATGAATAAATGCATTGCTAAATAATGTTGTCAACCAAAACGGAAACAGCAGTGATGATGAATATAATATGTCGGCTCAATATAGTGAGCATCTAAGGTAAGTGTGTGGAACCAGTTGTGTGGAAGATTGTCAAAATGCTGTTTCGTCTGAAAATGATGGATTTCTAAGTGAAGCTTCACATTTAAAACATAATTTACAGTTGATGAGCCACTGAAGAATACATCTAACTTTAGATAATGCCATCGGTTCCAGCAACGATTGGTCTGAAACGACTCCTCATCATGTCAGGTACGTACCTTGTACAGCTATTGCATGTGAAGATTTGCTTCAAATTTGTAATTGTCAGTTCAAATCCTAAAGTCTCCATTTTTTGGCGAATTTACAAAGAACCGCCGAGCTCAGTTCCAGCCAGATTCCGTCAATTTAGGAGAGTTGGTGATGTTAATTAATATCTTGGGTAAATGATTCAATTCCTTATTTTTGTTGTTTAAATTAGTTCATATGAATATTGATTTCGATTCAACATTCAATTATATCTTGGCTAAGCAGCAAGTATATATTTGTAATGAGCACTAATTAATTACATATTGCTGCTCACCGATTTCCTAAATTGAATCAAGCGTTTAACTTTTTTATTAATTAAATTAGAAATAAGTATTAATGGCCTTCATTTGGTACCAATCAATCTAGATATGAGTTGTTTGAATGTTTGATTTTACTTGAATGATAGTCTCCAAGGAGAATAAAAACAATAGGAGCAAGGCACGACATGGAACAAGCAAGCTCATGAGAATGTCAACGTTCAAGTGATTCGGGAAGAGGGTGACAGATTATTTCCAAAAATTCAGGTATATTGTTGTTCCTCTTCGAATTACATGAACATGGCTGTACATACATCCAATATTATTAATACAACGAATCAAACAATTAAACTTGGCAACTGTGTGCAGTGCACATATAATATGTGCGGCATATATACATATATATATATATTATTTGATTAAGTATTTGAAAGAGTTTGTTGTATTGATTGTACTTGAATGGTGATCAGGGTTATAACAAGGCCTCATGCGAGGGGAGGACATGAGTCGGGATCAGGGCAGGGAGGAGAGTTGGTG